CTCAAAGAAAGAAGCAACCAAGGCTCATTGAGCAACTCCTGTCACGCTATCAAAATCTACATGAAGGTATGAAAACAAGAAACCTAATTGTGAATTGACATGCCCACGTCTATTCCACCCGTATGCGCCATGACGAATATCAGATAAGACCGTTAAATAAAGAGACAGAAGGGGCTCAGAGGGAAGTCTCATCTTCCCAGAACCTCCATATCATCATGATCATGTGAGAGATGAGCCGAGACCGAGTAGCCCCCCTTTCCCAACTTCCTGGACACTGGTAGCAAGATAGCCAGCCCGTCCTGCCGTAGCATTGCTCCCCCCATCAGCTACCGCATCACCGGCGGCCTAGACTCCTTATTCCACTGCACCCTCGTCCTTATCCAGTCCACGGCCTCCCTCACGCCGTCACCCGTCAGCGCGCTCATGGACAGCACCCTCGAGTCCCGGATGCTCGCACCCTTCTCGCCTTCCATGACCTTCTTGACCAGGCCCTCCTTGATCCTGATGGTCTCGACGCAGTCCTCCCGGTCCTGCTTGTTGGCCAGGATGAGCAGGGGCACGCCCTCCGTGTCCGAGTGCTGCAGGACGTCCTCGAGGACGAGGCGGCACTCGTCCAGGCGTCCGTCGCCGTTCTCCACGTCGCCGTCGCCGATGTCGGTGCTGTCGATGATGAAGACGATGGCGTGGCAGCTCGAGTAGTAGCTCTGCCAGAGGCTGCGGAGGGTCATCTGGCCGCCGACGTCCCAGAGCTTGAGGTACATGTCCTTGACGGGGATGGTCGAGACGTTCTGGCCGACGGTGGGGACGGTGCGGAGCTTGGGCTCGGGGTTGCTGGGGAGGAAGAGGGACTTGACCTGCTCGTGGAAGGTCGTCTTGCCGGCATTGTCGAGGCCGAGGAGGATGACGGAGTATTCTGTCGCGGGCGCCTTCAAGTCAGCTAAGGGTCTTTGGGGGAGGGCAGGCAACGGCGGATACCGCGATTTAAACAGAGGCAACGTATGCTAGGAAGAGGGTGGAAGGGAGGAGGCGCTGACCTGGCTTGCTGGTTGCGTAGAGGTAGATTCCTTTGGCAAGGTGATACATGGTTCAGTGGGTGTATCTACGCCGATACCTGGCACGTGGGCAGCCTTGCATGCATCTGAGGTGGAAGGAGATGGGCAGGGTGATGATGCCAAAGCGAGGGCCTCGAGATGCGTCGAGTTGTAGGATGACTGGCCGGGGGTTGGGTTGGCTTCGCTGGTTCTGCTGGATCGGGGGGATTGATGCTGATGGCGAGCGACGTGTGCTTGATCTGGCCCAGCGATCCGCTACGGCCCTGACTAAAGGTTCGTCTGGTGTTCTGCTGCTGGCCTTACAGGCGGCTCTTCGATTAACTAGAGGGGTGAAGATTGCACCCATCGATGCCCCACAATTGCTGTCTCTAGAACCGGGGCCGCAATAAGTTAGCGGATGGTGCCCTGAAGAGATCGTAGGTAGAGATAATTGCAACTTTTGCGTATGTTGATTGTACTTTCCGATATCAACTCAGCTGTTGCTATATTTTCCTATTTGCATTGATAGACAGGATGATGAAATGAATGCGAGATGTCACAATCCTACAGGTGAAAACATCATTCACGTGGCAGGACATAACATTGATCCTGGCTGTACCCAGTCGACGCCTACCCTATGGCACATCCAATTCTTGCATAGAGCCGTGTTCTTTAATAAATGATCAAATACAGCCTCGCTAATGATCGGAATGGATTACTATCATATACAGTATTTTAGGCATGACTTGGCATATAAATATGAAAGAGGATGTGCAAGATGTGAGTTGCGTTGAAAATCAGAATTTGTTGCTCTTAGTTGCTTGATTGCAAACAACCCGGCAAGTAACTCGATTCCTCAAAAATCCATAAAGTACTTTTAATCGGCTGCCTTGTCGAGCGATCGGCACAAGATCGCATGTACTCGTCGACTGGACCAGCTTGAATGAGAAATTATTCACCAAGGAAAATCTAGACACTAGGAAGCTTGATACGATCGCTCAGGTGTTGGACTTATAAGGCCTGCTATTAGTCAAACCTTACTTAAACTGCCTAACGACTACGAATACTAGAACCCTAAATTGACGTATAAAAAGAAGAGACGTGCTTGAGCTTAAATTTGAGTTGTTGATACGCAAGGAGTCAATAGGAACCAAAACACATGCTGAAACCTATGGATACGCCCCTAAAGCGTGGATCCCTCTACATACAATAGCACTTGCACGATATTAGTTCACGTATTATGGGACAAAGAACTTAGGACAAAAGCACTTCGCACAATTGCCGTGGGTCTGGAGCACTGGGGTATCGACCAACAGCACGCAATGTATTTTAACTAAAGTCAGATCTTAAATCAAAAGTTCTCAGGGTAATTTCCGATGGATTTTTGTATGATTCGTGAAGATTCACGAACGTGGCCTGCAACGAGCTTTTCTGAGTGTTTTGCACAATGTTGGCACTTCAAGCCGTGCATATGTTATGCAGAAGTCCTACCGCGCTGAATAGTAGAACTAGACGGACAGTTAGGCGATATAGTGTCACTTGGATAATGGACTTCGAAGATGGCCCCGGTTCGATGGACAACGTTTCGATCGGACGTACTCGGGGATGTAAAGAGATACTATCAGGTATTGTAACGGGAGAATTCATTGAGCTTCCCACGGCCTTACTCCTTGAAGCGATTTATTGAGTCGGATGGCAGAGTGACGGCACAAAGAGCTAAAAATCATTCCTAGGTTATTATGATCGGATTTGTGTTTCTCTATTGTGTTAGGTTAGATGGCTGATTAGAAAATAGGAGAATTGGAACTGGACTGGAACCTGAGCAATACATCCAAGCCACCAGTCTCGCTTCTGTCAATGAGTATGCATGAGTTTCACCATGGCTTTACAATAAGTCTATAAAAAAAAGAAAGGATCAAGGAATGTGGGAAAGGAGGCTTAGAGAATCATGCTAATTTGGCAGGCATCGCACTTTGTGATAAATCTGATACTCCGTTGACACCGCTGCGACTCTCTCCGTCCCATGTTTTGTGGGGATGAACCACCTTAAATCTGACCTGGAGAGTCGTTTGCAGGCATTAATTACTCTTCTGGCGCAACTGCGCCGTCCCGCCGTGACCCGCAGGAAGCATCCGAGTTCCATTGACCAGCAGACAGATGCAAAGGTGACAGGCAGGGACAATATGACGTGATACGGCATGAGACCGAGGTCTGCCAGCATAGGGCTCGATGAACCAGGAAGGTGCGGGATCGTCTCTCGAGCTGTGCCAGAATCAAGCATGATCATGAAAATGCGCAGTTGATGAAGAACTGGCCGAGATATAGCGATCTGCAACGGAAACGTCGGCTCATATCGCAATAACAAACCTGGTGATGGGACTTATGAAGCCTCGTGGGCGATTTCACGGTCCGGGAGTGAGAAAATTGGTGTGTGTCTTGCCTGTTCGGCGCTGAACACGCTGACGGGCTGACATTATGAAGAGGTTGCAGCTTGTCTCTCTCTGATACCTGACAGCACCGTGGCGACTCGCAGCGCGATTTGGGACCTGAAGAGAAGGAGAATGTCTGTGGCAAGACATGAGGTCTAACACGAACGGTCACCGAAGGCGTAGCATCCATCTATCTCATCTATCTCGCAGAAGGGCGTGCCATCATTTCGCCACCGTCCATTCCAGGAAACAAGAAGCATTCTGCATGGCACTCATTTTCGGTGGCGGGGTAGATCACCCACGAGGCGGTTCATCAGATAACCTACTCCAATCCCATCCATGGCTGCTGGATGCTCTCTCTTTTCGCCGATTGGCACCCAGGACGATCTATTGTTGCACTGTGTTATATTTAGACTGCCCTCTGGTGACATTTACATTTCAGCCAAGATTAAGTTGTCACAACATGCGGCCCGGTATAAATAGCAACCCATAGGGCCAACGTGGAAACGTGTCGCCCAAAGAGGACATATTCGTAGCTGCATGTCAGATACATATCGACCCAGGGGATCTTTGACCGGAAAATCCACCAAGAGGATCCATCAGGCTCAAGTGGATGCAGGCGGGCGGCAGAGACTATTGCGATCCTTGGCCGGGAAGTGGCAGTACGGACGAGCTGGTGAGGGGCGAGAAGTGAGAGTGCGGCACATGTAATCTGTACGCAACACGCAATTTTACTAGCTGGAGAGGCCTCACTGAAGGCGAGCTGCGTCCGTTTTGGGCCAGTCCGTCAGCCCTGTCAGAGTGCTAGCCAGGGGTAGGGGCGGCTTACTCCAATATATTATTCAGTCTGCATACGGTTGGGTGCTGGTCATCTGCCGCTTATTGTGCTCAGTGCATAATAAGCTGTAAGCGGGAGGCTGGCCGCGAGCTGGTGGAGGATGGAGGGACTTCTGCTGGCTGAATGCCCATCCGATTGGCCTGGTCGCATCTTGGCTGCCAAAACCGAGGCCGTTAAAGGTCTTTGGTTGATGGTGGTGTCGCATCATCTTCCCACTTGAGCGGGCTTGTGCCAAATAAGCACCCCTGTTCTGCCCATCTTCGCCCAGAACTACTCCAGCCTTTGCCTATTTTTGTATCAATGCCATTTAGCTGCAGGAATGCTCACAGCCACAGACATCGATGGCAGGTACGCGCACCGAACTCGTTGTTCGGAGTCCGCATCGGGGCACACTCTGACTGACTGAGTCTCGTCTCACGGTCGCAAAACCGCTTGCTTCCAGTAATAGAACTCCGTTTGTTGAAATGGAGAGTATATATTAAGTCTTGCTCTGCCCGGTAGTTGCCGTGGTTTCTTCCATCTCCAGCCCAATTTCATCTACACGCAAACTTTCTTGTCTTCAGCCTTCCTCTCTACTTTTACTTTTTCCTATCGTCTGTACTTCTGTACTTACCTACTCTTTCATCTTCCTCTCCTTTCAACTTTCAGTCACTCTTTGTTAGATCCACTCATTTCAGAGTTGCTGGCCAATATCTGCCCATCATGGTTGCCGTTACTCGTACCGCTGCTGCCGGCATTGCCGTCCTGAGCGCCATCCACGGTGCCGCCGCTTTCACCGAGACCCGAGACGTCTTTGACGACGTTGCCGCCCTTGACGCCAGAGACGTTCTCAACGAGGGTGGCGAGCCCCTCGCCCTCGACGCTCGTGACTTTGAAGATGAGCTCTCCTACGAGACTCGTGACATTGACAACACCCTCGAGGAGCGCTTCTTCCTCACCAAGGCCATCGGAAAGGTTGCCAAGATCGGCATGAAGGCCGTCGGCGCCCTCAGCCACCGAAAGCACAAGCGATCTCTGGATGACAGCGAGGACTTCCTCGACACCAGATCCATCGAGGATGACTTCGTAGCCTTCGACACCCGTGACCTCGGCGACGACTTCCCCCTCGAGGCCCGCGCCATCCTCGACGGCTCCCACCCCGACCTGGTGGTCGTGAACAAGCGCTTCCTCAAGAAGGCCTTTGGCTTCGCCAAGAAGCTCCTCTTCCGATCCCTCGATGACGACGAGTCCGGTCTCGAGGCCCGTGACATCGACGACAACACTGTCACCTTTGACACCCGCGACCTCGGCGACGATGTCCCTCTTGAGGCTCGTGCCATCCTCGAGGGCTCCCACCCCGACGTGGTTGTCGTCAACAAGCGCTTCCTGAAGAAGGCCTTTGGCTTCGCCAAGAAGCTGCTCTTCCGCTCCCTCGACGAGGAGGACGCCTTCCTCGAGGCCCGTGACTTCGACGACTACGAGGTCTCCTTCGAGGCTCGCGACGAGGACGAGGCCGCCGCCGAGGGCCCATCCGGCGGCGACGACTCACCATCCCCCCGACCCAAGAAGAGCGGCCTCAAGAAGGGCAAGCTCGGCAAGAAGCTCAAGGGCCTCAAGAAGAGCAAGTTCGGCAAGAAGGCCGGCTCCAAGAAGAGCAAGAAGCACGGCAAGAAGGGTCCCAAGTCCGGCAAGAAGCACGGCAAGAAGGCCCGCAAGTCCAAGAAGGGCACCCGATCCGTCGACGGCGGCGAGTTCTACGAGGCGTAAAATCCCACATGCGCAACGGGTGGTTGTGTGATGAAAGTTTCCCGCCAGGGAGATGATATATTTACGATTTGATGGTTCCAAAGTCCCCCCAAGGGGGGACTCTCTATTCAAGCCCTTCTTTGGCACACTTGATATATACCCTAGCGGATGGTGGTTATGATCAGGGCTTGACAGACAAGCACGAAGCGAACTGCACGCCGAGTCGAGGGAATGAGGGAATACTGCTTCGTTCTGGAGGGCAGTTGTTGTACTAGTTTTTGTGATATTTTCCCGTCCGGACGACGGGCTTGAGTTTATTTGCCTGCTTCAAGATATCTGGTTTACATAAATTTATATACAATTTGGGTTCGAAAACTACTTCTCCATTCTCATGTGCCTATCTGCCAAACATAGCTTCCCTGCGTGGGAATATGCTATCACATTCTGTCCAGCATCGAAACGAACTCATGTCTGAAATTGAACAGCAATTAAGAAACACACGCGATTGGACTGCTGGCTTATATCATGTGGACACGACTCCGAGACCTCACGGGAAACGTTGCGTCTTTCGTAACTGCTCTCATCTCTGGTGCAGTGAGAAAACACCACCATTTCTTCAGTCCCGCAGATATACTAGCTGGCAGTGTTCCGCAGCTCCCACGAGAGCGATATTATGGAGTCTCGTCGAAATGAATGGTCGTAGAGCCGATCGCCTCATCTCCCGAAATCTGGGGAAGGTCATTCTGGGGGCCTTGCTAGTCTGTGATGTTTATCTACGTACGAACGGACTTTTAAAATGAGACTTGAAAAGCCCGTGACGGGGGAGGATCCCAGTTGATGACGGCCCTAACCCTGGTTGGAAAGTCTCACCACCTGAAAAGGCTCTCACCGACACTTAGCTTGTATTCTTGAGCTCTTGCATCTCACATTCTCAATCGGTTTAGAGAGCGGAGAAGATTCGAAACGTCTTACGGGAGCTGTCCTTGTGGTCTTCCAGCAAGGGTATGTCAGCGGTGATCATAACTGCACCGGTTGGCTCCGCGGTCAATTGCGGGTTTTCTGGAATAGGTGATTACGCTGCTTTATTAGCTCCCTTTTGGGAATTGAATTGAGGGGAAAGTCTAGTGATTTTTTGTTCCTGGTCTGTGTGGGGGGGGCATCGACAGATACAAGGACTGTGATGCTGACGCGGACACTCGCCCTTACTATCTGTCTTCAACCATAGAAGAAGACGCGGGAATTCCGTTTCAGGAGATTCGTCTTTCAGAACGATAATTGTCACGCCAGACACTTCGCCACGGGCCTCTTTTGGCCCACAATGGACGGACTCTCGGCGACAAGAACGAGGAATCCTCCAGGGTCATAGCTTCAGGAACAGCCATCGCGCGCGCCCCCCCATGGTTTTTAGGTCAATCGGTGCAGCATGGGCTCAGACTCGTCCCCGCATTGGATCACACTCTACAAGGTTTCGAATCGTCTTCAACTTCTCGAAAGGGGTTGATGGGCATGTCATTCTTTCGTCTAGTACTAGGATGTTATCGATCCAACTGCCGAGGAGTAACCTGATTGGCGAGAATACGAGAATCAGCACCACGAAGGCCTTAAGGATGCGGCTTGGTAAGAGCTCAGTTGCCGGTCGCCCGTGGGTAAGGGCGGAACTTCACGATACATTGTTGCATTGCTGTTGCCTTGAGCGATAACTGCCGGGATTGTGTCCTCGGAGGATTCGAGCAGTGTTATCCTATAAGCTGCTTCGTCGCGATCCTGGAGGCCGTGCCCGGGATAGTGCAAGATTGACCCTTGCCTTGCCTCTCAAGAACCTGGTTTTTCGGCGAGTGTTATATCTTCTGCATATACTAGCTTACCATGTACAATAGTCGGTGCCGACTTCTGCACATTCCCGATGTTTTGTCCCCCTGCGATGGCCATGCGAGAGTGTCTATATAGACTGGATTGACCCCCAAGCAGCCTCTGAGCCGAAAAGTTCCTTTCAGAAACCCCAGTCCTCCTCTGGGTCCCCAAAGTCCGTCATGCTCTTCAAAAAACTTGCCGTCGCTTCCGTCATCTCCATGGCAGCTGCCATTGAGACGCACGGAGGCATCGACTTCGAGGTCCGCTGGGAGGCCGGCGGTGAACCGGAGACCAAGCCGATCCGGGACTTCTACGTCAATACCGGTGCCGAGCAGGCCGCTACCCGCCTGTATAAGCGCATATCCGATAAGAACTTCCAGACCAAGTGCGAGGTTACTGGCAAGACCGACGCGGAGTCTTTGTTCGCTCTGAAGGAATGTATAGCCGCCGAGGACGAGAATGCCTTCTTCAGCCTCTTGTCTGAGGACCTCGACGAGGGTGACGCTTTCTGGGAGAAGGTCGTGAAGGAGTCTACTGCTTCCCGGAAGGACTGGATCGCTGCCCGCGGTTGGGTCCGCGCCTACTTCGACGGTTCTCTAACATCGCCACAGTTTGCAGCCTGGATGACCTCTGAGGATGCTGATAAATGCTACCTCCGCGGCAACGCAGAGCACTACTACAAGGCAACCGAAAACCTATCCCTTCTGCAGCAAAAGTCACGCATCTTCGAAGGCTGGGGCGGTGTCCTGTCGTCATTCGGCTCCAAGCTCATAGACTTCACCGTCCCCGACTTCCAGATCCGCAGATTCGGCACCGACGAGTACCCAGCCGAGTGGGCGATCGACCCGTCCTTTGGGTTCCTCCAGCGCGCGGGGCCAAAGACCCTCCGCTCCGGAACCGTCTGGGGCATCCTGCACATCGGCGTCCGGGACATCACCGCGGCCGAGTCGGGCAACGGCAAGTCGGGCATGGAGATCTACGGCGCTGTTTGGTACCCCCCCTGGGACCAGAGCTCGGAGGAGAACCAGGCGGAGTTCAAGAAGATGCTGCTGGATGAGGGCTATCAGGTTTTGGCGGAGGTTGTCAACTTTAGTCTGCAGGCTAACAAGGACTGTGCCCAGGAGGGCAAATGCAGGCTTCCGATGGCGGCGATGCCGGGACAGGGTGCCCCTGGATCTGGGAAAGATGAACTATGATTGAAGGGTTATATTTTGTATAAATCTTGACATGAGAACTACCTCCGACCCGTGTTCAATTTGGATGAGAATTACATTGTCATGTGTCTTGAGATGGGGGGCACGTCTGAGGTCATCTTGCATCTCATGCAGCATGCGACCCAACTAAGCCTCATGCAAGGCGACCCCGAGGCATCCTGCGGGCTTTTAGCAGTAGTGCTATTTTTGTTGGTAGCTTAATGTAAACTTCTCAACAGCTACGACATACCAACCCTGGCCCATCAATTTATCGTGATTGAGATAGCTCGACAAATCTCTCAATATGGCCACCGCCGTTGGTCTGGGCCCCGGCTCGGCAGACATTTTCTCCCTGGTCGTTCGGATGGGGAAAACAGCGAAGATGCTACACGATGTTCGAAAGGTGATACCAGAAGAACTGGCTAGAGTAGGAGCCCAAGTTGAAGGTCTGTATCAATTAATGAGCCAGCTCAGTGAGATACCGGGCTGCCACGAGATTGCCTTTCGACTGTGCAGGGATGACTGTGACAGGCTATTAGAAAAGCTTAACAAGTTGGAAAAGACCTTCCGCTCGGAGGCGAAGAAAGATATGCTGGATAAGCTCGCCAAGGCTGCAGCATTGAGAAATTGGGAACGGGATCTGATGTATGTCGAGAATATGATTAGGGATGTCAAACTAAGCCTGACATTGTAAGTGAAGATATGATATTGTGTTACTTCTTGCTAAGTATTTGGTAGAACCCTTTCTACTTGTGGTCTTCTTCCCCAGGCAAATACTCTGACGGACAGACCTAGTAGTATGCTTGAGGCGGCAGAAGAAGAACCAGAATCAAGAACAAGACTTGAAATAGAAGCCGAGTTGAATTCCGGGGAAGACACGGAAGCCGCTGCAAAAGAAACTATATCCCAGATTGTACAGGTATCGAACACACCATCTACAGGTCGCTTGATCATCCGTCGGAGAGGCTCTCTTGATTTTCAACTTCCCGACTGCACGTCGCGGAGATGTTCATGTTCTTGTCATAGGACTCATGAGGTGTCTTCTCGATTCTGGAGACTGAGATACACGCCGGCCCTGCCTTTTTCTCGGCAGTGTGACCAGGCTGGGTGTACTGCCACCGAATATAACACAACTCTGAGACTGGCATTGTCCCAATTCGGTCTTAACTGGGCTCTCAACCTTGGAATGAATGTGACAAAGTCTGTCATAAAGCTTACAGTTTCTCCGATCCTCGAATTAGAACAGATAGTCCCATATACTGCGCCTGGCTTCGAGATCATTGCCCGACTTCGGCATGATGGAATGACTTACCAGGAAGCTCAGCAAGCATTCATCCATCTATTTCAAACAGTACCAAACTTCAAGAATCATGTCGATCCGAGTGGGAAGTCATATACTCAAGTAAAGCCAGCCAAATTCGGTTCAAATTAGGTGGGAAGTGCTGACAGGAATAGGTGCTCTTGGAGTCTGTTTGGTCACCGAACGATCAGCTGGACCTTCTTGAGCTGCTTATGGGAGAACTTGGAATTATTCGTGGGAGGGACGATGTTAGGTGAGCAGATTTACTCCCCACGCTCTTGTCTCAAGCTTATCTAGCCTCCTAACTTGATCCCATCCAAGTTTTTTGACTCAATGTGCGACATGGATCGGAGAAGGGCCCCATTTCCCGCTGCTTAACGAACTATTTGACTACGGCTTTGATGTGAACAGTCTCGGCTGCCCAAACGTCCTGGACTGGCCTCGACCATGTTCGCCTAATTGGATATCTGAGGAGCAAACTCATGATCCGTTTTTTATCAAATACATCTCAATTCTATGTGAGCAGAGCCAAGGTAGGTCTATATTGAAGCTTTAGGGCAATTTGATATATGCGGAATTCTGAATTCTTTTCTCAAGGTTTTGGTGCAATGACACCGCTCCACGAGGCTGTAGTTTTTGGGACCGAGGAGACTGTGCAAAAATGGCTTCTGAAGTCAGAAAATGACCAGAAGAATTTCCTTGGACAGACACCACTCCATTTTGCTGCTGCTCAAGGCAGACACCTCGACTCGCTGATTGCATATGGTCACGACTTAGATGCGGTCGACTACCACGGGAACACACCGCTTATGTACGCGGCAGCAATGAACCAAGCTGAATCGGCGATGTTGCTAATTGACTCTGGCGCAAATCCTGGCCTCCGCGAGAACAACCATCGCCGCCTATTCACGGACTATGCTGCCTCTCGCGGCCATTGGCGTTTACTTCTTGATATCGTTGACCATATCAAAGAAGTCGCAGGGGAAACACACTCAACTCCATGGGCAGAGAAGGCAACAGTACTTTTTCATCTCTCATACGCGATAAGCCGTCTAGAAGGAAATATCTCGCTTGGAGACTTTTTATCCAGGTGCCCGAATGCTGACTTTACATTTCTCATGAGACTCGGTGAAGGAGGCGCCCAAACTCTATTGCACAATTGCAAGTCCGTCGAGGATATTGAAGAGTTGATATCTGCCGGATTCAAGAACATTGACCAAAGGAATAGCCTTGGGCAAACTGCACTCATGTGTGCCATTTCAGCACGGGTATCTGTACCATTGGTATCCAAACTCATCCAAGCTGGTGCTGATGTGAATCTCAAGGATGAGAAAGGCTGCACTGTTCTACAGTATGCGCTTCGAAACATAGACTCTTCTGCTCAGTCCAAGACGAGCAGAGGCATGGAAATCTTAGGTATCCTCCTGCGCCAGGGCGTTGAATTGTATCCCAGGGAGAAATGCAGATGTCCATGCTCGCCCGATGGGTTTGCGCCGGACATTGAGCTTAATACTAATAGCGATTTCGGCCGTGTTTGGGGCCCATCTGAAGCCCCCATCTGGTGGCTGGAATGGATCACGCAAATATATGAAATTCGAGGTGAAGATGATGCCCGGACGACACTCCTTGCACTCCTCCGAAGGTTTAAGCACAAGCACCAAGACGTGAGCCATGTTTATTGTCCGATGAGTTTGGAAACAGACTTCTTCTGGGACAATCTGAGGAGTATGGCGGATGTGCCCCGGATCAGCGAGGAGGATATCGACGATATCTTAGAAGAGGAATCGGAGTTTATCGAGTCTCTGGAGGAGGAAATGAGATTGGTCTCCAATTTTGACCACCAGAGTCTGATTAACGAGTTCATCTTGTGTTTCAAAATAGCACTAGACGACGGAAAAAGGAAGCGCGAGTCCCAAGCCAAGGCGATACGGCGAATGCAACCACCTAAGCCCGAGAGACAGGTGGGTACCCATGTATGGTCTATCTCTTGTACAGTTGCTAACGTATTAGAAGGGGTTCAAAATCGACCGGAGGAACGACCGATTTATCCCACCCCCCTCCAGCAGTGATTGGACTACTTTTGTCGGCCCTTCCTATGGAGCGAGGCAGTTTTCGGCATATATCTCCTGGTTGGCACATCAATACCTCCGTGGTGGATTAATTCAGCTAGAAGAGCCGGCACAGGAGCAATGGCTCTCTAGACGGTATCCATGGATCTGTTCGTTTTTGAATGTTTTCGAAATATCGCTTGAAGATATTTTTCAAAAGGAAAATGAAGAAGGCGACCCTGACTTAAAATTGCAAGACAAGCGAGCAAGAGAACTTCTCCGATCTTTATGGGCCAAGTATCAAACGAAGTCTTGACATGCACATTCTTCTTCCACAGGAAATTAATATACATTCAAGCTCTCCTGATAGCCATGTATTGTTCCTTCCCCACTTTCAAAGCACTTTTTAACTCTGAGCCCTTGACAGGCGACCTGAATCCAGAATGATGAAAGTAACAAGTAATATTGAGAGACAACCCCGATAAGAGACCGGTTGTCCCTCTTTGACCAAGACCGACGCTAGGGCCGGAGACTCTAACTATTCCATCTTAAGCGTGGAATAAAAATAGGCCACCATTGATAAAAGGGACGTTGTCCTAGGGTTTTGTGGAAATACGTGGTATCGATCGTATCCGTCGTGTTGTGAAATGCCTGCCCCTTGCCCCTTGCCCCAGCCCTAGGGAGCTGGGAGGGGACACTGATCTAGCCGCAATGCAATGTGGGTCTCACAAGACTGCGGGCCGAGGGAATATAATAATAATAATAGTAAGTTGTGCTAGTTGTTGTAAACTCTTCATTTGGGCATCCAGTGTTGGGACTGGAGCTCCCAGAGAGTAACTCCCCGTAGACTCGTTGGCTTGCTACGGTAATCATTATGGAGATGATATAGGCACTATGCTATACCTGCTGGTGGGTGCCAGGAACAGAGCCACATAGCTTCGTGGTTGTTTCATCGTGGGTTGCAGCAGCCACACCGAGTGAGATAGGGCAGCAGTAGGGCTGCAGCAGGTGGCTGTCAATCCTTGGGGTCACGTATCTGCCTGCCTTACCTGCGACTAATCGTTCCTAGTTTGTTCATATATTGGATCAGTTTCTTATGCTGCTCGCTTCGTTATGTCCTCGATTCATCGTGTAGCCCCATTCATAAGTGCATTGATGATGGAAACCAACAAGCATGCTTTCAAGCTCAATCCACCAGATCTTACTTGATAGGCTCTAGCGAGTTTCATCTCGCGCCAAAAAGCAACTTGGTCTGGAAATGAATTCATTTATGCCTCAAGTAGGTAGACGGAGAATAAGAACCTGTCTTTTGCTGACCCTCCCGATGCAACCCATCCCCTTCGCCCTGTCGACCAGGGATATCAGCCGCATTGGCCCGACCCTGTAACCATCAAAAGGGATCCTCAATATGCTGATCCCTTTCCAGATTGGGTATGCGGTGCGATGCCGTATCAAGGAAAACATGGAGTTGTCTTGGGGAATGAATGTTGCCAGGGAGTACTCCGTGGAGGATTTTCTCCATTAAAGAAGTGGCAGACCGATAGCTTGTGAGCTCTGAGCTGTCTCGTCTTCTGGTTTCTCCGTAACCTCATCTTGTCTCTCTTCCCAACAGGAACTGACACGCACCCGACGCCTAGCTGCCTGATCCAAACATCTTCCATCATGCAGTCCTTAATGGTCCTTGGTTTTCTCTTCGGCATGGCCTTTGCGGATGATACTTGCGATTATAACACAAAAGTCGGTTCAAACAGACCAGTCAACTGCATTAGGCCTACCTACAAAGCAGAAACCGAGTTCACCTTCGACCCATTGCTCCCCGAGACCTCCAAGTTCGTGTACGCATTTGACAATGTCACGTATGATGACTGGAATGAATTGACGACCAGAGACAAATTCGCGACCGCGCGGGCATGGTGGATTGAGTACAGCTCCATCAAGCCCAACCACACCCTGTCTCGTCCACACTACACCACCGTTCTCACCACATACGTCAACGGCACGGGGCCAACTGGGGGCAGCAATAACGGATGCGAGAACGTCTTGGGGAAAACATGCATTGACAAGATCAATGAAGCTATCGAAACTCTTTTCACGTCCGAAACTGGGACTCTGGAGACTATTTCCGACCTTGCTTTGGCCTACAAGAATAAACTTCTCCGAGACGCCTGCCCAACGGATTTGTTTAGCGAATACAACAAAATCCAAGGGAGAGACGGAACCATAAACTACCTTCAGGGCTCTTCATCATGTAGGAAACCCCTTTAATGGAAATTGCTCTACTTGCTGACATGTCACCCTTCCTCATGCAGACCTCGCCATTGAGTACAATAACACGGATAAGTTTTCGACTGTCAGGAGTGGGGTGAATCCATCGGGTAATTCCTCTTGGACCTACTACGATCAGAAGATTGTTCTTGGTTCATTGGCATCATATATAAACAAGACCGCCGTTACCTTCATCAATCGACAGCCCTCCAAGGAATACGGCAAGAACTACACAAAGGACCAGATACAATTCACCATGCTTTGCACCAGAATTTCGCAGGATGAGATCGAAAAGGTTACGGGCGGCTCGAGCAACAGCGGGGGTAATTCTGATAACACCTCGAGCAGCGACAAGGGCGGTGCAGGAACCGCAACTGGTATACCAATGGCCGCTACGTTGGTCGTGTCTCTGGCGGCTCTCTTTTGGTTGGGAGGTCTGTTATAAGTCAGCGCGATGTCCTGAGATGGCTTTGAAGACCTACGGTTGAGCGTTTTAGAGTGATAAATACCAGGGTGAGCATGAATCGATCAGTTCGTCAAGGAGACTGACATTTTCATGTTTGTTGTTTGATTATAACGCATAAATCAGGAGGAAATTTTGCTCCTTCTATTCCACTCGTAATCCTATATTATGTCTTGTGTATTGTCAAATATACCTGAGAAATAAATACTAGGAGTACTGTTTCTAATAGGGGGTAGAGGCTGGGTCTTCTATGGCATGACAGTCCAATTAAGGTTGTATATGGCGGGAAGTATTAGAACTCGTTTTTTTTTTAAGTTTTAATCATCTCCTTTTTCCATTCTTGATATTCTTGATTGCACGGGATTGATCCAATCCTCGTGTTTACGTCTATATGGGTAAGTCCTCACGGATCCCTGCTGCCACTCAACTCCGTTATGCCCATCTTTGAAGCTGCTTCGTACGAATCAAATGCTTGATCGCCTTGGAAGTGCCATCCATTCTGAGGACCACCAGACAGATGGCTAGTATCGCTATTCAGTTCGCAATCCCATCCTCCAGCCACGCCTCCGCTGTTACGCCAGTCGTCGCTGAAGTATGCTTCACCCGCAGCGGGGACTTTCTTGCGCACGAATTTGCTGATACCAGAGGTGAAGCACCCAAAATCTATCTCATTGTAGTCGACAGGAACATTTCCCGTCAAAGCTCTGCCGCTGGCGATTATGGCCGCTGCATGGCTGCAAAGTAACAGAGTGACTTCTTGGTCACCCTTGCCAGCTGCAGCAAATTCATTGTCAACATCCTCAATCACCAATGCTAATCCCTTTGCAACGCGATCATGTAGTTCATGGATCTTCTCCCCTTTGTCCACCGGCGTCAACTTGGGCTCATAGTTTTCGTCTACCCAGGGGAAGAACTTGCGCAGCTGGGCTGCATCTGCCGGCCTCGGCTGGATAAACCATGCACGACCGAACCATTCTCCAACCCCTGTCTCGCCTCTGACTTGAAGGTTGTAACTGACTGATGAATCACCCACGGCGTCTCTGAGGGCAACCACGGAAGGCCGTAGTGTCTCCAGGCAGCGGTAGAAAAGACTGGAGTAGATGCGCAGCCGGCCTTGATCAGCGTGCTCTTTCAGGTAGCGACTGAGGTGCTTTGCCGTTTCTTCTGACTGGGAAACACCCTCGGGGGCAAGAGGAGGGTCGGCCGGCAGGCCCGTGGGAAAAGGCTCGCGGGAAGAGTATTCGCCCGTTGCGGGGTTTAATGACCACGGCTGACGGTGGCCATGCCGAAGCAACAGAATCTGCGAGACGGGCATCTTGCTGGCTAATCTTATCAAATTAAGCTGGGAAAATATATATGAGGGTAAGTTATCAATGAGAGTTGGATTGGCCAAGTATTGACGTCGAGTGTTACGCAACGCATCACAAATCTTGGTGCCGCGGGGCGAATGCCCCTCTTTTGACTAGGCGGGCAGCTAAGGAGGAGAAGAATACTGAGTAGGAAGGTCATATGGAGTGAAAATCGAAACATTTGCCTGCTATAGTTCATAGACTATCTTTCAGTTCGCATATAACAATGAAGATATATTCTATGTGTAGTCGAATGCAGTTTGAATCACCCGCATGGGCACACAGGCCAAATTTGACGAGTTAAGGATTCATGAAATAAATGCAAGTCTCTTGTTATCAACTGTCCAGTCCATCTCACATCGCTGTAGAAGACACTCCCAACACACCTGGTCAGCATCCTTAAGGATAACCGTCCTTGCCCCTTGCTGTATGCTAAGCGCAGCTGTTGACAAGCGACCGATCCAATTCCGGGCAGATTGAACGACACAAGGATTTTGTGGTTGATCCAGAAACTCATGCCACGAGTCTATAGATGTTAAACAGGATGTAGGCTGCTTTAATCGAGACTTGTGAGTGCAAGTGATCTCATGAGCGCCGACTCGCTCTAGACTGAAATGGTTGAGAGCGGAGAGAACGTCCAAATCCGCCACCCATTCCTTACGGTCAAAGATAGATACGATCGTCTCAATAAAGCTTGCTTCAGCCCCTTGGTAGCCATGTTCAGATATGACGGGCAACTCGTAACGTGTGAACGAAAGATGTAGTGATGTATGCTGGAAGGAATCACTAAGGCAGCCATCGAAGTCGGTGTGATTGATCATAACCCACTGAGATTCGTCCACCTTTCTAACCATTGGAGCAACAGGGGGTATCATAAGGCTGATGCCTGGTCTTCCAATGTTGCCGACCACGTGCTTCACCTCACTTGGATCGGGAGAGTCAAACGGATCGCTTATTAGTGGCATCGCCACGTATAATGAGTTCCCAGCGGAAATCGCCATCTCGCTCTAAACTGCGGGGTTCTAAGTTGATATTGCGAGTCTCAAACATGGCAATGCAAGAGAAGATCTGAGATCTGCTGAGCTCCACCGTGCCAATTTTGCGATCGAGCGGCTCTGGGGGCCCCTCTGGTGACTCGGCTTGGCCTTGTTTAGAGCGCCAGCTTATGTTGGGAACTGGAGTTTCAGGGTCTTTATTTATACCCCTGCGCTTCACAGAACTCCCAATCCTGCGCTTCACAATACTCCTATGAAAGACCTTTCCTTTGGGTTCAATCTCTGAGTTCTTCCCTAAAGCCGCATCGTCAGGGTCACATGGCAACCAGAGCGCATCTTCTAACGGTAAAGAGAAGACACTGGTACTGATTGTGGCTCCTGGCATCAGCTCGTATACATTGATGGCAGCTGCTAGTGCTCTCAAAGACTCAACATGCTGAGGAACCCCAGATCGCTGAAATTCACCAGAAAAATCCAGGAACCCTACCATCTTGTTTCGGTCAAGCCAACCACAACGGAGTATGGTGAGAACTAGCTCGATGTCAAGCATTTCGGAACCAGAAATGTCCCTGTCAGCTCGCTTGAATAGTGCGACGCCCATAGGATCTCCCATGATATATTCGTATGTGGTTTCCTCTGAATGAGATCTTTGAAAGGGAATGGAAGGTGCCAATGGAGGCGATAGCCACTTGAACTCTGATTCAGCCATAACAATCACGGAAACATCATTGATGTCTTTATATTCTTCCCCGTGTGAATCCTCGGGCCTAGAAGCTGCATCCATGCCACTCCACCTGACATGCCCAGATAAATCCATCAACGGGTCAAGATTCCCTTTTTTGCTCATTTCGTTTCTTCTAATTGCCGAAGCATATTCACACATGTGTGTGTGTGTGTCGTCAACGGTATTTAGGCTGGATGATATTTCCCCGGTGAAACGGTCATCCACCATCCAACAAGGATAACGAATGAGAAGCGAGCTAGGGTCAGTACAGCCTATGTCTTGTGCTACAAGCCTCAGTATGGAAACCGCAGTTTCTATATCCTTTGCAAGGCTAATCAAAGTGTCGGCATGAGCCAACCCCCATAGTGGGAGCCATTGACCGCTCTTGCTGGAGAAAAAATTCTTATACCGTCGGTGGCCACGCATAATGAGGCTTTGGATGAACTTTTTCTCATTTTCAGAAGCCGACAAGTACTTCTGGGCAGTCTTTGAAAGCATTCTTATCCAGCTTTCGTGACCCTTGACATCATAGCAACCGTTCCGCAATAGAAACTCGTCAAGGGCAACGAGGAATTCTGCCGCCATGGAAATGCTCTTGCCATAAATCCCCCAGTTGGAAAGAATAGAGCCAAAAACAACATAGTTGAAATCTGAGATGGAGAGCCGTGACGCATGGTCTCCAAAAATCCTAGATGTCGTAACAGGGTCTCCATAGTATCTGAGGTAGGCGAGGGGGAGTGACCAGAATGGTCCATCGTCTGAGCGAGTGGAGTAACTCGTTTGTCCAAGTGTAACCATCCCACTAGCAGGCACCAATGGATCATTCTGAATAACGCGATCGGGACCGGCGCCCAAAACGAACATGTCGGGGTATAGATGCCAAGAGCTCAGAGCAAGAATGGCAGATCCATCCTTGATGCTTTGAGGTATACCGCTCGCAATGTTTTCCATCGTGGTGAGTGCCGTTGTCCATGCTTTGAGAACACTGGTGTAGGTGTCAGATCCATCACTGATTGGTATTCCAGCGTTCTCAATGAGTAGGAGGAGTTGCTTCTGTTGCCGCAATTTTGACTTATCAGCAACCTCAAGCCAGGCTCGTGCGCTGCTATCCCAGCCAGAAATTTGAGACTCTGTGATGTCTATCTGGGCTGCGAAGTGCGCCGCAGGTTTCATCGGATCCGATACGTCAATCTTGGATAGGATGTCTTTCCTGGCCTGGATTATCTCCTTCCAAATAGCCACGGCCTCGGATGAGGTCCAAATCCTTGCCAACATGCACGCAAGGAGGTGGGCCGAGATGGCGCCTGAACCAGAAGTCGCAGCAGCCCATATACTTGTGGCGTCAGGTCCGAGCCAGTTGCTGAATAAGCCCCGGTTATTGGACCCTTTTGCCGTATCATTCGATACCTCTTGTACGATCTCCGATGCCCTGTTTCCATATATTCGTACCAGGTTAGGGGTGGGTGGAAGGGCTTGTGAGAATAGGGCGGCAAGCTTGCGCGCGAATATATGCTCGTTGCCGCTTTCGGCTGCGTCTAGACGATTTTTCGTAAGACATTTGCCCAAGGCTTGATATTCAGCAGGGGCTTCAACTTTGTATAGAGAAAAGTCAAAATTAAGGTTGGCGAGCGTCAGTGTTGTTTCTTGTGTTGCCCCGAGAAGAGAGGCATTGAATTTGCCAATTGAAGACATTGAAAGTGACAGCAAATGAGACACTGCCAAGAAGCATCAAATATAGCTCTTATAGGGAGCCTAGAGGATAGTAAGAGAGATATATATGTATCGATTGCCAGAAACCACGAAATGATTCTGGGTTACAAGTGTGATGGATTGTACCTGCTTGAGCCGGGTTGAAGAATGAAGATAGAGAGAAGACCAGCCCCCATGAAGAAATAGCGGGGGAATGTTCAGCCTATGTGAAGGGGCTGTGCGTTGTGTTGGCATCTCATATTGCTACCCAAGGTGCAGCTGGGTGGCATGGTGGCTGCCTGACATGCAGATCAGCATAATGCCTTGAGTCAGCCAGCCTATGAATGGGTTGTGGTTGAGCTGCGGCTAAGCGAAACGGCGAGATAACTAATCCAAACAACGCAGACTCGAGCTGAGCTGGAGGGTTTTCTATATAAATCATGGTTTCTTCTGGTGGAAAGCCCACTCAACAATAACCTCGTTGGACGTATATCTAAGGTATAGCTTAGTTGGCTTTATTTAACTTCAATTTAGCTTAGTTCTAACTTAATATTAGCTTAGACTTTAATTAAATATAGAATTATTACTTAGTTTTAAGAATAGAAGTAGGCATAAAACACAGATCTACCGCTCTACGATTTTCTTTCGCCCAACGTGATTCCATCTTCAAGTTCTCCGGCAACCAATGCGAGCTGGCAACCTGTGCGCGAAGCAGCGATTCCAAGACTCACGACTAAGTTTGACTCAGTATGGTGCACCATCGTCATTCTGCGCCAGCTGGCCCTGATGGTGGGCGAGAATGGCAGATATGATGGTGTCGATGCGCCAACAACTACGCCTGTTATTGGGCATCTACCGCCATTTTACTGAAGTCGACCACAAGCCCGACTAGATTAACATTATCACCGGTATTATGCGGACTATACTGTACTATGACTTCTTCGAAATGAAATCTACTACACCGAAGTCATAAAGAGCAAAAGGTTCAAGCTCCCCATATAAGCGCGGACCCGCCCTTTCAACATAGGCAAATCAACTTCAAGTGATCGATATTTGCAGTCCTTCCTGGCTCGTATCAGTCTCGAATCGCGTCGTCATGCTCGTGCTATTGAGAAGAACTAGCATAGACCGCTGCGCGTACATCGCGCTCCACGTGTGCTCAATTATGTGCACGATATTTCAACCTCCGACATCAGAGAAATCTGGTCTACTGAAATACTTCGGGAGAATCATACCATTAGACCACCAGACCAAGGAATTTATTCCTTTTGAATCACAGTTTATAACTCTGTAATTTGCTCATCTGAGGGAGTTGATAGGGGCGGGACACATACTTATGTAATTAGTCAATAACTTTCTCCTGCATCCACGTGAGGCATCACTGATCTAGTTTCTAGAATGAAGTAGACTGCGGTGGGATTATTTTGTAGTCCTTTTTCAAATAACTTGAGATCCAATAATGCTCTTATGCAGCAATGAACCTTGTTCATGTGAATGATCTCCCCGAAAGAGTTGCCTATGTCTCGAATATCGGGAGTGATCTTCTTATACTCAAGTTGAATAAGCCAAAGCCTAATAGAAGTGCAGGATCGGCCCATGGTTCCCCCAAACTTGATGTTGGGTGTCTGGAGATGAGATCAGCAAGCTGACGGGGCGCCCAATTAGTAGATGCCACGATACCTGAGTATTTACACTAGAGATCACGTACCCATGCGGCACGGGCATCGCCTCCTGAGGCTGAAAATTATTGAAACAAGGCTTTGACTATTTGGTGATTATCTCTGCCTTGCACTCCTGCGTCGGGTAGGCTATCCAGGGTTGGCCGTGGCCATACCGTCGTTGGGTGTGTTTATTTATATTTGAGGCTCTAAGTATGGATATGTATACCTGCACGGGTAAGGTCTCTAATACTCCGCTCAGCGCAGTGGCTCATAGCTTGCCTAGCTGGCAGCCATCTATTTGAAATGGCCCCTTTAGAGATACCAATATCAGGTGAGATAGGCTGACCGCCCATCCATAATGGCTCAGATTGTATTGCCCGAGCCTGTAGCACAGTCACATGTCATATGCGAGGTGTGTATTATTATTTTATGTAATAAGTCATCCCAAGCTCTCAACTTTCTTATTGAGATATCGAGATATGTTTTCTTTAGGGACAATGCAAGCATAGAAACACTCTACCGTAATCTAGGGGCTCAAAGTCACGATGGAGCTTGACAAATATCATATGACGAGTTCTTTGCCTCCCACTCCCTCAGGCAAGCTGAAAAACTAAAAGGCAACTAGTATAAACTACATATTTAAAGATAAGCATACCGTCAGTAGTCTAATGCGACAATATTCAGCCGCAAGCAGTAGTGACGCAAGGATAAGCAGCCACGTAAGAAGGATTCGCCCCACCACAAGCACATCCAGGTTGGATGGCGAGCCTAAACACGCATTCAAGAGTTCAGTGAGGGTGGTAAGAATCCCAAGGTCTTTGAATCCTGATATTGGGTGAGACGGCGCCAGCCAAGGCGAAACACCGGTTCCCACCAAGGGATTCAATATCAGCTTATGAGTCCTCAAGACAGCCTTGTGGTTGTACGTGAATCCTTGATGTGATAGGTCACAAACCTTGTGGGCTGTACGAGTTATTATTTTGGGCACTGTATGAAACATGGTCTGTTGGCCGAAAAAGGGAATAAAGATATGTGAAAACATGGGGTCTTGATGAGCACCTCGCCAAGAACAGTCCTGCAATGTACTGGATCAGTTCCATTTCCTAATTTTGCAGTCTATATGGAATGACGTCCTTGATATGGAACACCTTAACGTATGCAACCGCGGACCCGCGTCCGCCAGTTTACATGCGCCACTAATATGATCCTTGCCTCTTTAGATATCCGTAAGATTTGGAGGCTAGCTTGTTGGTCATGCTCGTGCCGCAGCAGCATGTAGCTGAGTGGCGTTCTAATCACCAAAAAGAAATAAGATGGGTGTGAGAGCGGGAACTTAGATGGGGATAGGGTACGACGGCTCCCCCGGACGATGGCAATCTGCGGTTCTGTCTCTCTTCAAGGTTTTCTATCACCGCATCTGAACATAAACTCCGGGATACACTGAGTCGCATAGTCTCATCAACGACCATGGCCCGTTTGCAGCAGCGGCTGGATAGCCAAAGCTTGACGATACTCTCGCTTTTCCTTTTTTTCACGATCAACTGGGCCACTGCTGCTACTCCGAAAGACGACTTCTGTCGAAGATTCGAGCACCAGTCAACGGTTATCGATGACAAGCTGTACATTGATGGTGGAACTGTAAACTATAAAGACTTTGCATCATCGCATGAAAACCATGACAGTAAGTAGAATCTCTATTGAGTTGGCCATTTCAACTTTGCCGCTACGTAAAGATGCTGTGATTTAACTTGAGGAAATAGACACCTGGCTGGGATACCATGATCTCAATGATCTGGTGTCCATTAAGGGGGAACTTTGGCCGAACTTCAACATTGGGTTAAACAAGAACGATAGGTACCAACCCCCAGTAGCGGTTCGTAGTATTGCTGCTCACCAAGTGATCACATAGTATTCCAACAGTGTCTGGAGGCGTTCTCTGGCCCGATTCTGTCAACAAGCGATTCTACCTTTACGGCGGTGAGCAGATGTCCGGCTTCCCAAAACGATCCTATCGTATCCTAAGCTACGACATTTTAAATGACCAATGGGATGACTTTGGGGAGCCTAATACCAGTCCAGCGCCAGAGATCGCTGGCTTTGGCGCTGGTGTCGGAGTATCGGAGACAGGCATGGGGTATTATTATGGAGGATGGGTTAGCAACAAATCGATGAATGGATGGACCAAAGACAAAACAATGTCATCGAACTTTTACTCTTACTCATACGACATGGGGAAATTCGATCGGATGAAATCTCCAGACGATCACGCGAGAGCCGAGGGAGGGATGGTATGGCTTCCTGCTGGCGATACGTCTGGAGTGCTGGTGTATATGGGTGGTCTTGTAACCCCATTCGACAACGGCACGACAGCCCCCCAACCCCTGGATGAAATTTTCATATATGACGCACAAGACAACCGTTGGTCAAAGCAAAAGGCCGATGGGGAAATCCCACAGCACAGACGCCGATTTTGTATCGATGCCGCTTGGGCGCCTGACAAATCTAGCTTCAACATGTAGGTCTTCTATCTCTCAAACGAGATGAACGAGAGTTTTCTAACTGGATGACACACTAGCTACCTCTGGGGAGGACACTCAATCTATCCTCCTGTAACCAATGTCACTTCATATAGTGATATCTACGTTTTGACCTTGCCGAGCTTCCAATGGGTGAAAGCGTTCCCAGATACGAGCGGTAATTACACCCTGCCAGGGAATGGCAAATATGGCTCAAGCTGCAACATGGTCAAGAACATGTCTCAGTTTATGGTCATTGGCGGCAATTACACCGATTCCCCTACCGATAAGTGCGATGATGGGTGGTGGGGAGCGCATAACCTTTGGACCGGTACGTTCCAAAATGCAGGGAACAACAACGACAAGTGGTGGGCTTTGTTCAACTCCGACGTCAACACCAATGTCGTGCCCAAAATCGTCTACGACGTAGTTGGAGGAACAAAGGCAGGGGGTGCTACAGCCAAGCAGCCTAAGAATGGATATGACTCGGGAAACACTCTGCTGTCTATGCTCATGACCCGGACAGCTTCACCTCCTGAGCGCAAACCAACTCGTCAAGTCAGTGCAACAAGCTCCCCGAGCCCAGGCACTGGCGGTTCTTCGAAGCTTGGTACCGGTCCTATCGTTGGAATCGTGATTGGTTGTGCCGTGGCAGTGGGGATCATCTCGTTTGCATGGTGGCGCGTTGGAAAGGTCGTTGTGACGCGTCGTGATGAGCGGCGCCAGCGTGAGATGGAGCAGTACGCCCAACGGGTACAGCAGCAGGCACAAGAACAGGCCCATCTGAACCCTCATCAGTCTTTCTACGGTGCCAGCACCGTGGGTACCATTAGCCCTAACCCTCCGTCTACACAATGGGGCGTCCCCGGGAGCCAGGATGGAAACGGGGGCCTACACCCTCAAATTGAGCCTTCAGAGTTGCCCGCTTACAACCAAGGCATCGGTATCCTTAATCACAAACCATCTGAGTCCCCTCCTGGCCATCCCTTGCGCTAAGATACGCATATTAACGCCTGCTTCCAATATCTTTGAGGGTTGACTGGTGTGAGAATATTACCTATGTGGTGCCTTGACTTAAGGCGGCTTTTGACTTGATTGATATGATTGGTAAAAACTGTTTGAGCAAGGTTGCAACATTTTCTCCCTTGATCAGACAGTTGTGAAGATTTTACGCAGTTGGCCTGGAAAACATGGAGGGTGTTAACCTTTCTCTACCGGAAGGATGCTACTTTTGCTTGGATTAAACTTGTGTAGGAACTGATAACATCGAGTTACTACAAATCTAGTTGTGATTATAAGTCTAGCTATTATCCTGAATGTAGTGACTGCTATAAATCTAGCTGTTTTAAGATCTAGCTGTTAAGATCTAGTTGTTAAGAATTTAGTTATTGTGAATTCTCAACACAGCGCTTTGTAAGAGCGACAACAATATTTTTAAAGGCCCTCTCCATTAGGAAGGGAGCTCCTGACAGAAGTATTCACGGAATTTCGCGCGAATAATTTTTTTATACCTCGGTCAACGCTTTTGATAGTGACTTGGCATGTTGAATTAGCATCTCCGTAGATACATGAAAGCAATTCCAAATCTTGGCTTCTACATTCTTCTCCTCCATGCCAACGTTCTCGATAAGGATTATGCTTGTATGACGCCCAGATAACACCAGTTCAGGGCAGAACAAGATAAATTGAGTTATAATTATTCCGAAAAAGGCCCTCGGCATAACTTACAAGCGAAATCCGAGACGCCACTTTTCATCTCTGGTGGGATAGTTACATAAACACTATCACCACATTGGTTACATTTAACTGGCCGCCAAGATCCCTGATCAGTTTTGTTCTGGCACCCTTCTGCAGTAGGGCCATTCGCCGGCCCGTTAGCTAATTTCCAAGCACACTGTTTCAATACTCTGGCGGTGAACTCTGTCTCCCAGTCCAAGATATCAAAATCAGAATCCTCGATGAGGTCGCTGAGGTGATATGTGGCAGTCGAGGCAAGAAAGTCATGCAGGTTTGCATCACCCGCCTTGTGCAACGCAGTCTTGATAATAGTTGGATATAGTTTGGACCTCCAATCCTTGGAAAAAAGCATTTCGAGTTTAGTGATTGATGCCTGCTGGAGGGTTGGAATGCCGTAGTAATCTCCAGCAGCATTAACATGAATATGACAGAGAACTGTCTTCAGGTAACTCTCATTGTTGAGTCTTAACATATTGTCATACTCTGATTTTTCTTTTCGATGAGAAAACCCCACACCCCCTAATGATCTCTCATTCTCGTATAGCGAAATATTGGCCAAATCGGACAGGACGACTTCATAGTCCCCCTTGTAGAGAAAATCTACCATGTACTTAATGATTGGAGAATGGAATTCCCTCACTTTCAAAACAGCCGTCTTGGCTTCCTGTCGTTCATTAACACCTCGCTACACAGCTTGCAGTTTGGATCAGCTGATGCACCATACCTGGAAATCTCCTTCAAGCGCTCTGTGAATCATTCTTGATTGGAGACAGACGACACTTTTATGGAGTTTGAATTCTCTGTCTCCACAGCTCATGGTAAAATCACTGAAGCTGCCAGTCTCCAAGAGACAAGCAAGTATATCTGAAGCTCTGCTAGTCATTGTGAATGTTTCCTGACTGATACCCTTCATAGGTCTTTTTATTAGGGATTTTACGCCGTATTCGTGAACTGACATACGTGGAAATCATGAAAGTAGATAAAAAATTCCTGATCAAGGGCAGATGCCTCTCCCTCGCTTTTAAGAATCTGTAGTGTGAGACACACTGGATCTTCTTTGATTTGGGGTTTTGGATTAATAATATTCAAATACTCGGAAGCAAATCATTCACTCCCTTATTTCATTTCTCTTCTCCTCCCTTGATCTGCACAATATCTGAGACGCGTAGGCACCTGAATGGTCCTAACTAATATTACACTCAGTGGTTACAGCCGAGCCAGCCGCCTTCTCATTGAAAGAGACTGCAATGCCCACTTTTAATAGTGTTGGTAGCTCTCGGCACGATGCTTTGGCAAGTTAAGGATAAGACTACATGTATACTGAGCTCATAGTCTGGTGCTTTCTGTTTGGCAGTTGATGGCTTCAACTACGCTTGGAACCGCCCAAGTCATCACGCACCTATGGTACCAATGATGTGTAATACATCAATACATTCATTAATTCTTGACCCATGACTTATTGAAGCTGTTGAAAGTTGCTCTTAGATGTAGAGAAAGGCCCCTGGAGGGGAAAATCATCTCCAGTGCTAGACACCCCATATCTTTGAGTAGACTTCCCATCCTTGAACAGAAATGCAGATACTTTTTCGTAATGAAATTCCCCCCCGTATTCGCGCGTTAGGTCCCTATTTACATAAAGGTGTCCTCCTGTGCCATGAGACTGTGAACTCACGCAGCTTTAGCATTCAAATGAGCCCATGATATCTTCCCAAGCCAAGCATAAAAGATGTAAACAGCGCCATGAATCCAACGACACCAAAAAATGGCCCTAGGTTATCACGGTCAACTGTCTCAAGAGGAACAGGTATATTCATACCAAAAACGGCGCCGACCAAATTGAGAGGGACTAGAATGGAGGCAAGGAGCGTGATCTTATTCAGCATCCTGTTCGTGTTGTTCCCCTGGGAGATACTCATGACAGAAACCGTGGCGAGGTAATTACTGTGTGCACGCGCAAGAATCTGCTCGAAATGGATAATGTTGGTCGTCATGGTAACAACGTGGTCCTGGATATCGCTGAGATATATTCCAATGTCAGTGTGAGGCGCATTGGGATAGTCCTCGTTGCAGCGCTTGGTGAAGCTGCGAAGCACGTCCGCCTTGCCTCCTATCAGGCGAATGAGCGCCATGCAGTTCTTGCGAGCCAATCCAATACGTCTGAGAAACTCGCTTGAATCACGGTCTCGCATTAAAAAGACGCTGTCGTCGATAGAGTCTACCTCTCGTTCGAGCTGGCGTATCACAGGTCCAAAGTCATCGACGATGTTATCACTGATTGTCATTCTAGTGTCAGTTATTCTCATGAGGGCCCTTTTTTGTGGAAAAACTTACATCAGAGCATAGCAAATCCAATCGCTGCTGAGTGAGATATATTCTTTGAGAGTGGTGATTTTCCGGCGGACAGAAGTTGCGTGTGGATTCGGCATGAAGCTGAAGCTCAAAACGCCTTCCCGGAACACAATGACATACATATTGAAACCTTCATACTCCAAGTTCTCACCACATTTCACTGTATGGAAAGACTGAAAAGAGGCAAAGTAATAGGAACTGACAAGCTCAATCTTTTCTCGTGCCTCACGCGTGATAATATCTTCCACGGTTAGGGGATGGATTCCGAAAGCCTGACACAGGCCTTGGACCTCTTCTTTGGTTGGGTTGTTGCAGTTGAGCCACCACACACAGTGTTCATTCCGGGGATGTTCGAATAGACTTTTGAGGCTCTCGCCGTCCTGGACTAAATTGGCTAGTTCGGAAGCGTGAACAGTGGACTCCCAAACGGTCGAAAAGAAACTAAAGCGGTTCAGGTCAAGTGCCCGACCTCCTCTCTGAATCCTGTGAAGCTTTTCAGATTCAGGATCGACTGGCGAGACAGTAACGTCATCGGATAACCCGGGAATGGCATCATTTTGTATGTGAGCGTTCTGGCGTGATGCCCGCTCGGTCTGTATGAACTGTTCGAGGAACTCAAAGTCGATGTATAGATCCTCCTTGGAGCTTTCCGAATGGTTGTTATTGTTTTCACCACTAGTTTCGGCCTCGGTGGGATCCCCTGCCTCTTTCTTCTGATCTTCGTTGTAGCTGCGGTTCAGATTGCTTGCCGGTCTGTAATCGGCCGTCGGGGGCTTGCTGTTGTGGCTTCGGTTCGAGACAGACGCGGCTCGAGTTCCATTCTCTTCAACATCCAACTCACATTCTGCTCCTATCTCTCGGCGCGGCCGACGTCGAGCGGAGGCAAAAGCTTTGATTGAAGAAGGAGGAGAAGCGGACCTCTCCTCCTCCGCAGGCCTCCCGCTCGCTCGGTGGGAGCGGACATTTAGAGAATCAAAATCTGCCTTGGGATCATCACCATTGATGATCGTAACTTCTTCGAAATCTCCAACGTGAATGGAAGGCCTATTAAGAAGGCTAGGGGGAGAATCCACGTCGTTATCGGGTCTCCGTCGGGGGAGACGCTGGGGCGAGTCTGGCGCAGACATAGGGAAGATGTGTTCCATGTTTGAGGAATATTCCCGCAAAATGAAACAAAGTCTTGAGTATAATTCAATCAACCATCTGGGGGACACTCATCCATTAATTGAGTGCCAGCACAATGGTTTGATGAGGGATTCTGGAGTCTCAGATGATTTCAAGTAAGCCGTCGCTTGAAAAAGGTCAATCTAGTGATATTTTTGCGCTTGAGCGAGAATTTTGCCATAAATTGATGTTGGGGAACATCAGTTGAGAGAACTTACTCTGCTAGCCAAATGAGGAGATAAGACCTCGAGCCAAAATACGGACAGCAAGCCCTACTGCGGAGCCTATTGTCGAGTCAAGAAGATTCCCGTAAATAGGTTAAGCTCAAAGAGCGGTCTTTTTGTCTTGAGTGTGTTACATGTAGCTACGAGACATGCGTGTTGCGTGGCGAGGATGACTTTGACGGTGCTTCTCATCACCAATCAAGCTATCCGTTCCCCTCAGGGTCGCGTGATCAATAAATAGATCGTCCCGGGCGTCGCTCTTATGCATTACGTGGACGTCCTGTAGCGTCTCTAGCTCAACGACATGTCATATTGGGATTATCTGCGACCCAAAAGTTAGTAGAACAAAGTAGCGGTGTCGGTTTTCAGCCACCACAAGCGAGCGTAGAGACTCACACACAACTAATATGAGTACATGGAGAGTGGCCTATTGTTGAGCGCTTTTCTTGGACCAATTGTCTTGTGGTTCGAATGAAACAACTCTATTTTAATCCAACGGGGAATATCATATATCTCACACACTGTTTCTCAAGCATGACGGGCGCCGTGCTAAGAAGATAAGACGGTGATGGGAATTAGCTCATGTGTAAGAATGTCTTGGTTTATGTAAAAGACAAAGCTGATCGATTGGCGCTATAATCGTATCCAGTCTATACTCTTGGAAAAGTGAGAGCTTCCAAGTTGGATTATGGTATAGATCTTGATCTTGGTGACGATCTCGGCCAAATTGCCGTGGCACTCGGGACGCGCGGCAATCGCTTTCGTTTTTTCAGAGACCAGCAATATACCGGTCAAACTGAAATTGCCACAAGTGTTCTCTTGGCAACATGTGTGTTTTAACTAAAGGAATCCATCAGTGGGGCTACGAGATATTTGGTAACTATTTCAGCATGTCTTATGCTGTCTCAGAAGTGAGGAGACTGTTCTCGATTTCTTCCGACTCTATGCTATTCTCGGCATTCTTGTTCAATTTTCCCTGTCTAATGGCCAAACAAAATAGTTGGCGGGTCTAATCTAGCCGATCCCCTACCTACAAGTAGGTAGGTCGGAATCACGTCTTGCGGAAAGCAGAATCAGGAACAAGAATGGGATTTGGTCACAGAATATCTCAGAAAACCTGCCTAGGTTTGTCTGAGCAGAGCATAGAAACTGGTTAAGGTTTGTATGTCCTGCTTGACCTAGACACAGTGCTAGGGGTAAAGACAAAATCTTATTTTAATAAGTTGATCGCATGGCGGATGCTTCAGGTCCCATTAGTAAACCAAGACATGTAAGCCGATGGCTACATATATACCATGGCTGGCAATACCTCATATTCGCATATAAAATATTCGAAGTAACAACTCATACTAAATGGATGATAGGAAAAACTAATTGCTAAGAAGAATCCTCATCTTCCCCTGAGACCCTATTTGGCTTGCTGGTCAATGCGGGAGGTTGGGGCTTGATGAAAGAAAATGCTCCTCCCAGAACAAATGAAGTTAAAGAAGGGCCCGCGGTAGAATCAAAGACAACCTTCCTAGAGCGAGGAATTTGTAACCTTGTCTCTAGTTCCCTGCCGATAGTTTGCTCCAGGTATTGATTGATATCCCAAATCAACTTGGTGTGGATTTTCCGAGCACTGCCACTAGAAAACAAAGGGGGCATCCAATTCGCATATATCTTCGAATGGGTCGCTGAAGTGGACCATCCCCGTTCATGTCTACCCAGGAATGTAGAACACAGGAAGCAGGCTTTTTTGCTAGTTCCCATAAAGAGAAGCCTCGGAGTGAGTGCTGTATTGCTGTCATAAAAGCAGGCCAGTTGCATCTCTGCATGTACGGTGAGTACACGCCCTTTGCAAGCTGCACGAAAGCGAGCGTCTGGACTCTTCAGCCAATAAACCCTCAGCTGCGCTTTGATATTTTGAACTTCGGCCCTGGTGGATTTTCGAATTATGTTGTCCAGCGCCTCAGTTTCACCGTTGAGGGAGAACTCGGCCTGCGGAGGAGCTTCAACCAACTCAACCCGAATAGGGATGAATAGATTCGCCCGAGTGGTCGCGAGCTTGATCATCGCCAATAGAGCAGCATAGTAGCGCCCCAGCTTATATATATTGTTGACCCAACCAGGCACGCTCATACTGTCCGGAAATGCGATCGTTTGAAGGTGAAACGCGAATACCCAGCGCGCTTGCGATGCCCATTTTATTTGTTCGATGAGTTTCGCGGTCTCCGTTTCAGGACTAAGAGACAACAAAGATGGGAGATCTTTTGCCCAGTTCAGAAAATCGTTGTTATCAGAAAACTGGCCTGTCTCCAAGCGTTGTAGTGCTTTTTGTATGAGTTCTGGAGCCCCCCTCTGTTGAAATTTCTCGATTATGCTATCAATCTTAAATCGGTCCAGCTCGACAATTTTTGACATGAGCTCCCAAGCTTTCTCGTCAGGAGAGCAGTCTAGAACCAATAAAATTAGCTGGGTTTCCGTTAATTCTTCCGGAGGAATAGCTTGAAAAGACAACACAAACCTCCCTTCGCAATCGAGCTGAGATCATCTAGCACGGCCTGGAAACGCAATAAAAGTTCCTCCGGGGTGCTAGTATTCCGGGCCAATCGTAAGATTGTACCTGTTGGGCCGCCTTGCTCCATACATACAGCGGAGACGGTTTCTTTCCCGCTTCCCGTGGAGCAAATCAATGCATATGAATCAAGAAACTTCGCTATGGGACTTGCATCTTCGTGCGGATGGGTGTCAAGGCTATAGACTGTCGGTTCGCCTCGAACCGGATCGATGAGAGAGAGCAAAATTGAATTGAGAACGCATCGTTTGGTCGATTCCTCTGGGGGAACTTGAAGAGCTTGAAGAGCGGCGGCTGACTGTCCTTGAATGGCCATTGTCATTATCGAAAAGTCGGGCACGAGCTTGCTGTCAGGAGAGGCACTGGTGTCCTTCTTCGGAAGCTTTTCCTACTCTTTATATACTCAAAAAGTGCAAGATGCCTAACGCGCAAAAGTGCACGAATAACCGCCTCACTTTCAAAAAGGGAGGGCCTCCCGCATCGTCTCACTGCAGGCTTCATTGGCCAGCTCGGCATTCTTCGGAAGCTTTTTATGCTCTTTATGTATCCAGAAAGTGCAAGGTGCCTGACTGAATAACCCCCTCACTTTTCTAAAAAGGGCCTCCTACATGATCTCACTAATTACAGGCCTCTTTAGCCAAGTCGGCATTCTGATTCGCTATATGTTGTCCCAATCACAATTCCGCCTACTGTTGGTGTTGGGCTCCGATCCCTGGGGGCAAGGAAGTGCCCAACCTACTCGTGGATGACGGGTTACTCAATAAATGTATACACTGACTCTTTTGGCTCATTTGAGAGACTTGGTTCGCCCTCCAGAGATAGGATATGAATTCAACTATACTTAATAACAGCTTAGCTAAGAACCTAACGGAAGGAACCCGCTCGTCGAATGCTTGCTCGCCCGCATGCTTCTTCCTCTCTCAGGATGTTTTTCCATTATCATCTTGAAAAGTTTAAGATCCTCCAGAGCATCCGCCGCTGTTGTTTTAATTTGCCTGCCGCCAGTTGTGCATTCATGCAGTTCTCTCAGCTCCGCCGCGTAAGCATCTTCGTATGACGTTTGGGGCGAGCTGAGACGCCTTGACCCCACACTCGGCGATTCTACGTACACATTTATAATACCTATCCCGGGGCCGCCAGTTGGAATATATGGATTACCGTAACTGAAGGTCTAGTAAGAGTCGGCGGTGACGCTGAGGAAAGCTTGGAAAGGTTTAGCAATGAGAAGGGTGGCACATCACATGTTGATACCGTGTAGGAGGAGAAAGTATACTGATATTCGAACCATAATTCAGAGCCCAACAATTATATATGCATGTTAGGGGCGTGGAGTGACAAATTAATATAGGTACTCAACACAAATTTTCCATAATACAAGACCCCAAACAAATGTTTGATCATGACACCACGATCCCGAAAATTGGGACTATTTGGTCTCCATCATTCTCTCGGTTTATTTGACTTTAATAAATAAAAAGTCCGGGAGGCTGAAAAGAATTTATTTATTTGGAACTCTATTTCTCACGTAAGACCTACCCTGGTGAAGGTTACAGGTCGCTTAAAATTAAAGGTCAGGCGGCGACAGTGAGAGTTTTCTTTACGTTCGTTTATTTATCAAAAAATTTTGTACCTCCTTCCGAACAGACTTCTCCCCACACGTTTGCATCCTAGAGCACCCTCCTCGAATATCAAACCTTATACCTCTATAACCCCTATTGTATTTCAATCCGATATCATCTCTACTTCCTTATTCTCGGGAACCAGGTACTTTGCAATGGTTATTCCAAAAATATCACGGACCCTCAGTATTTTCAAGCCGTCGGCTAGACGCTGGGTGGCTGCTCCTCCACGGCTCGATGAAGCAAATCTTAGCCAAGGTGTCAAGTCGGACAGTTACTGTTTGTCAACCTGGAACATTAATGCATTCTGGCCTCGACCAGTTGCTCGTGCGACCGCAATAATCAACCTGCTTCTGTCTGAAGCACACTTATCAAGCGACATTATTTTTCTGCAAGAAGTCACTCAGGAAGTTCGTAGCTGTCTGCTACGAGACACGCGAATTCGCTCGAATTATTTAGCAACAGACGCCGAAGACACTACCGCATTTGACGATGTTCCATTCGCAACTATGATGCTACTATCCAAAGCCCGTTTCTCAAGCCAAGGCGCAATCATCGGCCCCGTCGCCAGGTTCAAGCTTCCGAGCCAGTACCGAAGAGATGCACTCTGCACAGACGTGTTTCTCCGGCCGTCTACAGCATCTTCTTCAACACACATAGGGATTGAAGAATATTGCCGTCTGCGTCTCGTCAATGTGCATCTTGATTCATTGAGTTCCACGCTGAGCTATCGCAAGCAGCAGATGGCCTGTGTTTCTGAAATACTGCACGAGAGCAACTCACAAACAAAACAGTCGAACATAGGTCTTGTCGCAGGCGATTTCAACGCCGTTTGCCAAGAAGATGAGGAGCTAGCCATGAAGAATGGACTTGTTGATGCCTGGTTTCAATTGTATGGAGCAGATGCAGCGCAGCCCCAGGTCAGCACCGACCAGAAATCCAAACATTTTCTCGGGCCCCGAAGGCTAGATAGAGTAGCAATCACGGGGCCGTTGGAATCAATGGAGCTGCAAAATCTTTACCCTGGTACCATCCCAGTCCCCAAGCCAGGCGAGGTGAAGGATGGCGAGGTGAAATGGAGTGATCATTCCGGGCTGAGATTCACATTCAAGCTTCCTTGACCCCTGTCAAAACTCGCCCCACGCAGTGACAAAAAACACTCGAACCAGCATGAAAATACTCAATATTGTGATTCTTATATGCTCAAAAGCCTATAAAATGGTTTTCCTTGCCAGTAGACAGCTTGGCCAGGTCTACAGTGATCGCTCGTCTTGTGTTTGTCAAGTTTTTTCTCGCATGCCGTCTTACTATCGTGTAACTCAGCATGAACATGTGTTCTTGGCACACGGGCGGGAATTCATATGCGCGGATTCTTAGGCCATCTTGCCAGCAATCTCCTCTTTTGTTAGCAACTATTGATTTTTAAAACCAATTACATTATGCTACAGCTAAATGAATCGCAGCCTGCGTACCATTACCAGGCACTGCCGCGTTCCCGATTTATCCGTGTCCTTATTTTATTTCCTGGAGCTGGCGATGATCCCATTCGCGTCTCCCTTCAGGTGGCCTTTCTCGACGATGAGCCGGAATTCGAAGCCATTTCCTATGTCTGGGGTGACCCGACCACAAGGGAAAACATCTATTGTGATGATGTTTGCATCAGCGTCACAGGAAACCTCCACGCTGCGCTTCACAACTTTAGGCTCGAAGACAAACCTCGCAAGCTGTGGGCGGACGCTTTGTGTATCAACCAAGAAGATTTGGACGAGAAATCGTTCCACGTGCAGATGATGCACACGGTATATCAATCCTGTGTTAGGTGCCTGGTCTGGCTTGGCGCTCCCGACGCGCATTCGGACGCCGCACTGGCCTTGGTTCAAGCAATCACTCGACTGTACACTCAGCATATGGCCATTGCGGTTGATGAAGCCGACCGTCACCTAGACCAACATGGCAGAGATCCCATGCTAGCTCAGAAAATCGGCTTTGACGGCCTTCCGCCTAAAGACTCGGAGCAATGGAGCTCGCTATTCCAGTTTCTTTGCCGGCCATGGTTCTCTCGCGTGTGGGTGAGCATCGCACCCTCCTCATTTTTTACTCCCTCGTCGTGTCTAGATCGTTCTAATGGATTCTTCCAAGGTCATCCAAGAAGCCTACTTCTCCGGAGATATCCTCTTTTTCTGCGGGAACAGAACGACCACATATGCACCACTTTACTTCGCCGCGGACTGGGTTCTCGTAAACGGGACAAAGGTGGGCTACGATAAGGCTTTCGATCCAGCTGATTACTCCAGTTCCATGTGCTTCAATATCATGGAAATGAGGCCCGACAACTGGACCCGCGAGAATCAGTCGCTTGATAATCTTCTCGATGGATGCAAAAGATTCGGCGCGACGAACCTCCGTGACAAGGTGTATGCCTTGATGCATCTCCCGGCATTCAAGAGAGAGTATCCCGACATTCAGCCAAATTATCGAATCTCCGTCGAAGAAACGTATGTCGATGTAACTATTGCATCAATCCGCCGAAATAAAGACTTCGTAATTCTGATGCGCGTCGATCGAGAACTAGGAGACCAGAGTCCAGCTCTTCAGCTGCCTTCCTGGGTGCCCCGGTGGAATAGGGGTGACGAGACGAGCAGTGCATCATCTACATGGTACAGATTTTATGCCGCAGGGAAGACTAAACCGTCCGCAGAGAGTTCTTCGTCGCCGTTTTCTGCTGAACTTCTCTCCGGACACAGGCTGCAGGTAGCGGGATTCGAGTTCGACATAGTGGAAGACGTTTCCAAGTTGACTTTTATCCGCGGTTATAATGCTACTCCCCCGGCTAAGCCACACTTCTCTCCTTTGCGCCCATGGAAACGATACGATCCTGATTCAGAGATCGGGCCATACGCTACTGCGCCGGCCATAATTGAGGCCTACGCCATGACAATGACGGCCATGTGTCGCGAGTTTGAAGGATTTTATGCTCTCCACTGCGCACCGGAAAATGAAGCCCACCACAGGTCTGACTTCGTAGCCTGGCTGCAATGGCTGCGACGCCCGGGCCCAGAGGAGCATTTGCGCGAAGGAGACAGTCATTATCCTCCAGGCCTTTACTCTGATGAAAGGCCATTTTTGAATGATACAACGGATGAAGAGCTGGAAGTGTTCTATACGAGATACAATAGGATGGTGAGAATGTACAATCTGGGGCGGAGATTGATAAGAACTCGCAATGGTTACTTGGGGACTGGTTCCCATGAGCCGCAGATGGGAGATCTTATATGCATTTTCTTTGGGAGTGCGGTTCCGTTCATCTTACGGCCGAGGGAGGACGGCAATGGGTTTATCTTGGTAGGGGACGCTTACGTTCATGGCATCATGAATGGTGAAGCCTTGGAGACGCTGGACAAGGGCTCATTTACGAAGAGGAACTTCATTATTCACTAATGGCAGGGCCACCACTTTCAAAATTTCCTTGGCCAACATCAAGAGCCTCAATTTGATGTCTTTGAAGGTGATTAATTCTCTTTCCGTGTTATGAAGGTTGTGGTTAGGACAAGACTTTACGATTCTTAGCATTCCATCTTATGAAGCTATACGATCAGCAACATGAAATTTCATTTCATTCTATCACAATGTTGCAGTAAGCAACTTACTATACATGCAAAGCCTGAAAGAAAAAGAACGATTCGCGGAGCAGGATAGTAAGTTATAGTTTCGATCTTGTTAACAAACTTCAATTTTGAATAAAGAAAGTAAATACTGCCGAACAAAGCGATGCCATACGAAGAGCCCAGCCTGGTTGAACAAGCCATCACCCAACACTAGATTTTTAACGAAAGTCTTGTTGAACCCATCCCTTATACATCCCATATATGAGTAAAAAAGATCACTGGGTCTTAAAGCACTGGATCGAGCTGACTGGGGGCTTGTTTTGTATATTGGGAACGCTGTCGGGGTACTCGTTAACGGCACCAAAGCAATTCTGCAGACTGCCAAGTCGTAAGCTTGAGGAATAGATAAGTATACCCTTAGAAATCACTCACGAGAATGTTCGGCAAGTGTAGCCATTGGAAACCTTGATAGAGCGGACATGGCCAGCGCTGCCATTCGTTTCGTTAGCGGAGTTGTGCAGCAGAAGGAGCAGGGAGCAGGGGTTCTTACAGCGGTGGCCCAAGTTGATTGCATCTTGAGACCCCGATAGCTTTACTCACTCCGCTGTAGTCTATTTCAGAATAAACAGTTCCCTAGTGGAGGGTCAGTAGAGGATTCATTGAGACATTCGGCGAGGATGAGGGAACCTACTGCAACAACAGCATCATTTTGCGCAACGGCGAGAGAAATAAGGGTGAATGGGACGAGCGTGGAGAATAGCATGTTGAAGACTTGTCTCTTTTTAACTTTGCTGTATGTAAGTAGTCGTGTAGGAGATGCTGGTGGCTTCTGAGAACTGCTTCTAGCGACAGCCAGGGCAGCCCAGCTATCTTTATAGTTCTCGACATTGTATTGAAGTACGTTGAAGCGTATACGCCAAAGTACTAATACCACTCTCAATATTGTCAAGGATCCCCGAAAATCGACCAAAAAAATACCAATACGCTGCTGCTCATGAGAGCATGACGATAGAATGAAATGAGGCTTTCTCACGTCAGACTCTCATGCTTCTTTTCATTCCTCTTCATCGCCATCGTTTCCATTTACTCTATATGCAAAACGGTCCTTATGTTGGAAAATGTCAATCATCACAATCATACTTTCACGTTATGACGCTGATTACGAAGATTTTGGTGCTCACTTCCCAGGATGTGGTGGGAACGCGTTGCACTCCATTCCAGCAGCAGCCCAAGAACTGTCGCTTGGCATGCCAGTCAGATGTTGGCGGTAGAATCTAGATATACTTGTCTGGAGAAAAGTACAGATTTCAGGACCATGAACCAGATAGAGCGCGGACTTTCGGACAGTTGGGTCGCCAGACCGAGGAATCGGGCAAGTGAGTTGGTGCACGATGGCTACAGAGCACTGGGAACATTTGTCGTCCGCGTGCACGCATGAATGACGATGTCTCTGTAGACCAAAAGTCCCGTTGATCAACGTTTGAGTATGGCCGAATACATTCCGACACTCCAGTGCGCGCCTCAATCACGTAGTCATCAACCCCGATGCTCGGAATTTGCATCGGCGACACGTAATGTTCTCACATTGCAAGTGAAAAAATATCAGGTCACGCCCAAACTAAAGTTCTCTGATCGCTGCTTCTTGGATGGATCATGAGAACATCAAACAAGCGCTAACATGCTAAGAGAATTCTCTAAGTCCGTATCGTTAGCTGGGTACCTCATCACTACCTGAATCTAGATGCATGGTCACAAGCCTTTTATCTGTCTACTCATATGATGTTCCCGGCTTCTCAAACACGATCCCAATACAAACGGGCAGGCAGACAGCAACTCTACGAATAGGATAGCAAATACTCTTATGATGCGTCCAGACACTCGCCAACATCTCTATCGTAGTTAATTGAAACATTAAATAGCGCTTAAAGTTGCAAAACTTGTGAATAACGAAACTAATTGAAGTTGGATGTATCTCATTATGACACCGGGAAGTATAGGGTAGGCATATTGTCAGCATCAATGCTCGTCACAGTAGTGTAAGATTGGCGCACGGGCAAATCACCAGGTTCGTCTTCTATAAAAAGAATGAAGAGAGTAAAGACCGGGCCACCATGAAGAGAACCCCCAGGGAATTCAATCGATAGCGTCGTTTTATTTTCAACTGGTAGCCAGGGTCAAACCATGTGCTGATTAGTGGCAGTCGATTTCTTGACAAGCGCGAGCGACATCTGCCAGAAAAGATCACTGTGCGTGGCGACATGCCGTCTGGAAGAGGACCGAGGTTGGCTTGACGCGACCGCGTCTGCTCCACCAGATTAACGCGACTCTGGTAATTGCTAAGCCTTGGACTGGGCTTGCGGTGAGGACTGATCAAATGGCCGGATGAGTAATGAAAGACTGGACCCAGAGACCAGTCAAGGAGCGCTGTTGGGAGCAATTCCGTTTGTGTGCGCAAAGTGTTGGGAGTGGACTCAGTGGAGGCACCCAGTTTCAGGCCAAGCAGGCACTGTCGCAGGCTCTATCGTGGATGCTACAGTGGACGCTACAGAGGGTGCATTCCATTACTAACCACATCAGCGCCAGCTCCAGCGTTGGCCCAGTGAGTGATCAATCAGTGGACCGCTGTTCTATTTCGAGCGCCCTCCCGATTCCTAATGGAGGTACCATCGACCCCCCAGCAAATCGACCCTGATTTCGCCACCCAGCACCTGTTTTCTGATGCCTGTCGCCGAAAAGCATCGCATTCTCTCCATCATCGTACCAGGCCCAGCCCTCTGATTCACCGCACCTGGCTTATCTGCTGACTGACTGCGCTCGATGGATCCACCGCGCCAGCCAAGGCAGGGGAGATACGCCTGGGACACGCCGTGAATTTAGAGCTGGGAACAACTGCCGACGACATATTTAACATTCCGCCATCGCCGTAAACAACGTCTTCTCTCTCCTCACGCCTTCATCACTCAACCTTCTCACCCTTTTAATAGTCGATCCGCGCTGGCACGCATTTAATTCTTACGCTTTTCTCAACTTGAATCATTCACTTGATCATCAGGCGGCTGGGACGCATTCACTTCTTGCTTTGACCACTTACTCATTTCTAATCCCACCACCAGCGTCTGGCACGCACTTCGCTTCTTGCCTCTTTACTATATCTTTATTTGATTAATATTTTTAATTATCGACTACCTAGCGGCTGGTACGCATCCACCTCTAGCCTTACCTCATTTCGGGTTTTCAACCTTTGCGACATCACTACCGACATCATGAGCGGAGTTCAAGAAGACAAGACCATGGAGATGGGTCTCCTCTTAGATGCCGAGCACAACAGAAACAGCCCTGAAAGAATCTACATCACCAAGCTGCGATTCCGAATTGTAACAGGAGTTCTCTGCCTCATTCTGCTTGGTCTCAACGTTATTTCTATGAAGGAATGGGGCCGTGTTGGCATCATCTACTTTGCACCTCCCGTAAGCACCCCCGATTGCAAGTGTGGCCGACCTTTGCTAACATAGGAATCTACAGGTTACTCTCAGTCTTCTGTGGGGACTCGTCGAAGGTGTCTCCGTCTACACCCGACCTGGACGCCGGGGCATCAACCCAGGACTCACCGTCACCGTTGACGGTATCCTCATGATTTGCTACCATGCTGCAGCAACCACTTACGGCCTCAAGCACGGCGGATGGGACCAGTTCTATGCTGAGAGCTTCCCCGACTACGCCTACTGCATGGCCCAGTATGTGGACAACATGATTCTCGCACTCTCGTCTCTCCAGATGTAAGCATGACCCCGTCTCACCGCGGCATAACTGTAACCAAAAGAGCGACGCTAACATCTCACTCCGCAGCTTCTTCCACGTCGTCATGTTTGTGATTGGCTGCTTTGAGATCACCGAGAACAAGCGAAAGGTTGCCAGAAGCTACATCGACACGACCCGAGGCGACTTCATGAACACCGGAAGCTACTGCCGGTACTCGGACCAGAAGTCTCACGTGCGAGCGCGCTCCGTCGACTCGACCTACTCCGACGATGATGATTGCAAATCAATTAGTTCGAGCATCAGCGAGAAAGACTTGTAAACATGCATTCGAGCGCACTTGACAAAGCTCAATTGTCTCGTGTCAGAGGGTGGGTTTCACTTTGAAATCTGCGCTCATTTTTCTTTTTCTTTTTTCCTTTGCTTCTCTTTTCCTCTTCTCTTTTTTGACGAATTTTCTTTTCCTTTTCTTTTCCTTTGTCTTGGTTTGGTATCTCTTAATATCAGTAGAGCTGACCTCTATCTGATATTCTGACTGCCGGCCTTTTATTTTGTTGCCTTTTCTTCTCTCTACTTTTTACATTTATGATTTTCTTTTCAATTTCTTCTCACAATAGAGAGTGTTTTGGTTTTTCTAGTTACACAATAAAATGAAATCAAATATATTAAAAAAAAACCCCTGGAAGATTCAGTAAAGAGTGAATATTAAGCGTAAAAATGCAGAGTTGCTCTCCTCGCGCATAAACTTGCGAATAATTTCTCCAAGCGCACTGAGTCGTAGCTGAGATTGAAGCTCTCCTTGTTTTCGACTATGAAAAAATGAAATTCGAGCTCAGATCATAGCGGCTCTTGTTCACAGTGATCTATATTCGAAGACCAAGAAGAATGGCAAGTCACTGCTGTTTCCAACGCATGAAAATCGAGATGAAACTTGGTTTATACATAGTCTCATCATAGGAATCTTTGACATGGAAATAATCTGGAACTCACGGCCAGAGAAGCGCAACACCTTCTCCACGTCCAGTTCACAATTTCAGCATGTTGTCACACGGTCTGGAATTGATCGCGTTGGTTTTTTATTTCTTATTTTGTTCGTGTTCATCCCGTGAGCTGAGAATTAAGTTACTTCCAAGTCATGGTCCTCTATAAAAGTCAGATCAGGCACCACCGAGCCCTCCCGGGTTTCTCTGCATCCATATCTCAGTCTAATTTCGAAATCTTCATCTCTATCTTCTAGGTCTTTCGAAGTCTACCTTTCTCTCGGCTACAATGTCGGAACCAAAGTGCAAGCCAAAGCGGCACCTCAATTATTGACCTAAGTGCCCTCACGAGGCAAATGGAAAGTTTAGGCAAATGGAGACACAACTGAGCGCACTCAAGGGCCGATATATCCGATACGCCTCTGCAACTACTCGATTCAAACCACCTTCAGTAATTCTAGCCCATATGCAAGGAAAACGTTTCTTGTTACATCGAATAATCAAAGCAGAGTGCTTTGGGTAAACCCCGTATATGCAATGCAATTCAACGAATCACGCAGGGCCACCCGATCCACCATAATCCGGAACCACAGCTATATATTATGTCGTTACACTCGATTCCATCAATCAAACTCACCAACCTCCATTCCTGCCAACAGGATTCGAAAAGCAGACAGCGCCATCCAGCGCCATCCAGCAACTCAAGTCATCCATCGCAGCCATGAGTGACATAGTCGGTGCGACCAGCCTCCCGCCGGAAATGTGGATGGTCGTCGTGGACCACCTCAAGCACCCTTGGGATGTGGCCGCCTTGGCTCAGACGTGTCGCCGCCTTCATGCTGTCGTCAATCCTCTCTTGTACGAGCATGCCGCCGAACACGGCTTCGACCTCAGAGCTCTTGTCTGGGCCATCCGATTTCGTCTACTCGGCACGCTGAGCCACGCCCTCGCTGCCGGCGCCGACCCCAACAAAGTGTGGCGGTATTTCGAACCTGGAGCTGCACGGAGGAGCGCCCCTACATTTGACGAGTGTATTGGCAGTGTACCCGATACGACCCAGTCTGATTTCAATCTCGTTTATCCGCGGCCCTATTGTTCCCCGCTGCACATCGCAGCATCCTTGGGCGACGTCGAGGCAATGGGAATGCTGCTTGATCATGGCGCCGAGCCTTATGCCGGCTCGTCCAGGGTCTGCAGGTGCTACGACATTCAGCAATATGCAGATCCGAGCCACACCTCTAATTTCATCAATCAATCGCCGCGCAATCCGAGATGGACGCCTGCTCATGTCGCTATATGCACAGGGAACATCAGAGCATTCGAGCTCCTCTCCTCAAGAGGAGGTGGCGTCGAAATGCAGAGCATTGATCCAAATCCAGCTACGGCTTATTCTGGAGTGACTCCTATCCACGTCGCTGCCATGTCTGGCCAGGCTGAGATGCTGGAGTGGTTACTGGAATCTGACCATGAATATGACGTGGACGCCCTGGATGCCAGTGGCAAAACGGCTCTACTCTATGCCTATTACGCTCATCACTGGGACTGTGTCACTCTTCTGGTTCGCAACGGCGCGGATATCAACAGAGACAACAGGATAATTTTAATGCTAGAGAGGCAGGGATACGACCCCATCTACATTGTCGATGATGATATCGATGTCTTATCACAAGGAACACTGTTAGAAGATTCAATGACGCCGTCCAGGTTCGACGATGCCCTCCGGCTCCTCGACCTCGGAGCTGATCCCGTAATCACGGACCGAACGCTTCGAATCGGAAAGTCGCTGATCCACAAACTGTGCCTCTCTGCATGGTACACCCTCCCGTGGGACATCACCAAGGTGGAAAGCAAGCCTGTTCAGACCGCCGGGATGAAGCTCCTCAACCGCTTCCTAGATTTGGGCCTCAACTTCCAGCAGACCGTTACGTATCCGCCCCTAATGTACGATGAAGGGCATGAGTTGGGATATACAGCCCTGGGTTACGCAGCCCGCGCCGGGAATCTACTCGCAGTCCAAAGACTGATTCAGGCCGGTGCAAATGTTGATGGGAATCCAGAAGAGGACGTGAACACGCCCTTGGCCTGCGCGTGCAAATATACGAATGGCAAGCCGGTAATGGAGCTGGTGACTCTTCTAGTCAAGGCGGGCGCTTCCGTGAACCGACTCAGGCCCCTATCAGAAGCTCCTCTATGGGTCCTCCATCGGGCTTTTGATGACGACGAACCTATCCCTGATAGGCTGCTGGACAAGGTGACAGACTATCTCCTGAAGCAAGGTTCCAACCCCGGAAGAGGGACATCCAACGGTGATGATGTGTATTACACCGCTCTAGACTATGAGCTGTTGTCTGGCAATTTGGCAGAGTTTGAGTATCTTCTCTCGAAATCTGCAGAGGGTTCACTTGGGGACGATGATATTCTCGGCTTCTGGAAGGCGGTTAAATCGCGCCCCTCCGGAGACGACATCGCATATGTCATCAAGATGGATAGGAAAGGCTTAATCGCGAAGAAAGACCCGACCGCTCTGCCATTTGTCATTTGCCAAAATGAGATTGATCCTGAGCTCGTGGAGCACCTTCTCAAGCTGGGTGTTGACCCCAACGTCAGCTGGTCGGGCAACACTCCGCTAGGCTGTATCCTGCAGGCAGATCGCACGGAAGAGTCGATAGTTTTACGCATAGTCAAGAGCCTTCTGGAATTCGGAGCCTCAATCTTCCAGACGCTAGAGCCGTTCCACTTTACGGACCTTGACGAAGGGGCTCCTCAAACTCCCTTGGGCCTGGCTATCCACATGCGGTATACATCGTTTGAAGTTCTCGAGGTTTTGCTGGAGCATCAGCCTTTGAAAGACGCCCCAGATATCGACCCCTTTGAGTATATTTTGCAGGCTTGTATGGCGGGAAGCACAGAGGCACTTACAGCTCTCTTCGTTTCACTGGGTGCATCGTCCCCCGTAAGGCAAGAACATGCAACCAGCATGGTCCATCGTGTGCTTGATGCGGTGTTGGAAAAGGCAGTGACCATAAGGAGGATAAACATCGTCATAGACTGTTTACAGGTTCTCGTTCAGCATGGTGCCGACCTGTCCGCTGAAGCGTCCGAGGAGTCTCTCGATGGTCGAACAGGAAGCGAGACTTTGAGGGCTATTTGCGACGGGGAATTCTTTCCGGACCCCGGTGCGCCGAAATCTAGGGCTTGGACTTGGTGTTTTCAGCAAAGGTTTGGTTTTTCGGGGGCCGACGGCCTTCCAATCTTTAAGAAACCTACGATGGAACTCTTCTTCCAGTTGCACATCTCTGTTGAACAGCTGGGCAGGATTCTGGCGGACGATTCCAGGACTTGGTCACTCCGATTTAGGGAGTAATGGGTGTCTAATGGTGGTATTAAGTGAGCGAGCTATGCAGGTTATACGGCAGCTGCTGAAAAAAAACAAGCGGCCAATACCCGAACACCAACAAATCGACAAATTGATGCTATACCCAGCATCGCAACACGCTCAACACATCAAAGTTCAGCGTTTTTGCCCGGCCACGAGGCTTACGCCCAGCATGAGGTTCAACGCCAACAATGGCTTGTGTCCGGCATGGTGACTCTTTCGTCGGCATGACTCCCTTCGTGAACCACGAAAACCTGCTTTCCTTCTATTTTATGAGTCTTTAATGTATGAGGTATGATTTCAGGAATTCACTTTGAATTTCTTCGCCGAAAATGATGGTCTGGTCATGTTTTCAGGATCAGGGATACCTGTTCTTCTCTTGATTCTCTTCTTCTTCAACCCAGCGCTTCTCGACGGTGGGTATTATTTTCCTTCGCAGGTTTGTTCAGTGAGCTATCGAATGTCCAGATGAGGTTTTTTTGGTCTTGAGTTGAAGTCTATTCTCTTTCTGAGCCTACTGATAATTGGCGATTGGGGCTCGTATTCAGATTGCAGTTAATAAGTCATTATAATAAGCCATTAAAATAAGTCATGAAAGATCGACAAGGTTTTCCTCTATAAATACACTAGAACACTTGGGGTCTCATGTGTATAACTGTTTCCCTATCACTTGTTACTCCGTTCTGAGCAAAGGATACGGCAAGGCCTACATGTGAGCAGAGAGCACGATGAACTAAGGTGAGCAACTGGACATGGGGCGCTCTACCGGCACCACTGGACCTCACTCGATAACTCTCGAGCAACCTGGCAGTGGTCCACAGAGCCTCTCGGCATATATTTTGCGAGCATGGGCGGGAAGTTGGACGTTTCCGAGAGTGGAGAATCCGTCGCAGCAGACTACCACAATCGGTAATCTTCAAAAATAGAACAACAGCCCATGCCCAGTGAAACGGCACCATCCAGACATTGACATACATATTAGCATCAGCTATGTATTCAATGCACTAATCAGATGGAAACTACCCTGCCAGTTTTGCTGACGCGTACCATTATTGATGTCAACGTTGCCGCTTCTGTCGTATCATCATGTCACTAGATGCTGGGGCATGTCGCGACCCTTGTCATAAGCAATGTTGGTATCGGCCCTAAATCAGGATCCGCGGCTGGTATATTGACATATGAATAAGCTGTTCGAATCCAACCTACCGAGAAACTCTACTCAAATCCCCCTCCTTTACCGGTTATTCTCACATCACTACTATAAGGCCAAGTAAAGGCTTCATATTCGAGATCACCATAACTTGCCGGGTGTCGGTAATCCCCTGATGATGGCGTCTCCTAGTGTTTGGTTAATTACGGGTGCCTCCCGAGGACTCGGTTTCGAGATCGCCAAAGCGGCGTTGCAGGCCGGCCACACGGTTGTAGCAGGCCGGCGCAATTCTGGCCAAGACGATCCCCGAGCAGCCGAATTACAGTCCCTGGGCGGGCACTGGGTCAATCTTGAAATGGCTGGCGAACATGTCGAAGAGAGGATTGCGGAGGTGGCAGCGAACTACGGGAAAATCGATGTGCTGGTCAACAATGCCGGCTACGGTGTAGGGGGGGTTGCAGAGGATATCGGGTATGTTCCAACCTTCCTCGAGCGAGTCGTTCCATCCCAGCTATGAAGTCCTAAGTGTCCGGCGTTCTAGCATACAGTTATACCGAGACATCATAGAAGTCAACGTCATCGGTGTCATCCGAGCATGTCAAGCTGTCACTCCCATCATGCGCAGCCAAGGCCAAGGGACCATTGTCAACATTGGAAGCCTCAGTGGCATCATTGCAGAGCCCGGAGTCAATGCATATGCCTGTAGCAAGCACGCTCTGGAAGGTGTGTTTCTATCCTCGGTCCCTAGTACGATTTAATGCGCTTACATCCATCGTTTAGGTTTCACAGAAAGCTTCTCCAAAGAAGTATCTGCTTTCAATATTCGTACGCTGCTCGTAGAGCCTGGAAACATTGACACGGACGTGGCGGACGTCACCAAAACCGGCATTGAGGTCGCCAGAAGTGAACCTTATCAAGGATCGCCAGCAGATGTTATCCTGAAGACCTTGACGAACGCTGAATTCCTCAAGTCCATCTCCGCCTGTCCCACCAAAACAGCCTTGCGTATTGTTGAGGCTGTAGATAAGACAGGGATGTTTGCCGGGCGAGATGTGAAGCTGAGATTGCCACTGGGCAAGGAATTTCAGGACATCCTCGACTGGGGGAATGAGTTGGTAAATACAACTGAGAGCTTGAAAGATGTTGCCAGTAGCGTCTATAATTAAATGGCTTACTGTTAACTCTGCTGCAGTCATGTATAAGCTATACGGTGTCAAGGCGGTGTGGATGGGTTTTCATGGTCTTCTCAGCCTATCTTCAGTCACCGTCTACCAAGGAATGATACACTAGCAGCAAGAAAACTACGAATATTCAAGTATCCCTTTAGGGGCTAATTAAACTCCCGTTATTGTTGTGGTTACTTATGTTACCATTCTTAGTAGCGTATCAACAAATGACTACCGCTGCTCAAGTACATGCCCTTCGTTTCACTCGAAAACATGAAGAATCAAGAGATGGGTCTGCCGTTGCAACGAAACCCCGAAATGGTGCTTTATCTTATTGTTCGGCTTCAGAACAACTCGCTCAAGTTTATAGTACCTAGCCGACCATACGATAGCGTCCAGCGCTGGTTCGAGCGAAGGACATCATGCTTTCCTAAGATTCGGCCCCGCGGTGAAGAACAAAACGATAGAATCCGCGACGAGATCAAGCTAGTTATTGATCAACGCGTCAACGATCTGGCGGCTGGGTTCGGCCTGTCTATACAAATCACGGAAAAGCTGCGGGCAGGACCTAAAACATATGCAGCACTACATATCCCTGGCTCTACCTCGCAATGGAAGATATTCATCAACCACTCCAATCTCTTCCACATACATCCGACTACCAAGGAATTTTCTTGTGGCGGGCGGCTCACATCCTATGCCTAGGGTCTCAGGCATGTGGAATTCGAGTTTTCATGAGAGAGGGATGGATGACCCGATTGTGTGTGTCACGTATATTTGTTTCTCCCACATTCGAAATATTCCGGAGACCGCTTTTTTGAGTACTGCTCTGAGCATTGGACCTCGCATTTACAACAAGGAGATGTGGAAGCAGTCGAAACCTGGCTTCTAGATAAAGTCCTATCACTTCATGCTACTGATGAGAAGTCCTTTAGCTCATGGTTTCTAATCATGTGGGAATCTTTAGCACTCTGCTATGACATCCCGAGCTTGCTGACGCAGCATACCACCGCTTCGATGAAAGATCAAAGCGTTATGCTTGAAAAGATGGTTCATGAACCAAAAAACTCATAAGGAAGACACTAGCAGAACGACACTATATTAGGCAGCTGAGTCGATCCACGCAGAAGCAGCGGAGATGCTGTCAGATGCTAGTGCTAGTATTGATTCCGGGAGTAGAGATCATAACACTGTGGTTCTTGAACCGAAGTGCAATGGTCACGAACGGACGTTACGGATACCTGTGGACAGTGGTGTCGACGTTAAGGATCAAGGAGAACAGAGCAGTGTGGTGTACGAGGCATCAACTTGGGTGTATTAGAGGTTGGTACAGGTTTTACTGGAAAACGCTACAACCGACCTAAAATTTCAACAAGGGGCTGATTTGCGGGCAGAGGTAGTAGCATATGATTTGAAAGCGGCACAAGGACTACTAGAGCATAATGCCAGTGTTATCAGTCAAGGAGAATATAATAAGGCGCTATACGAAACATCAGCTCGGGGATACCAGAAGCTGGTTCAAACACTATGTGAACACAATTTCAAAGTCAATTCCCAGGGATAGAAGCACTATTCTTCCCTCCATTTAACGTCTCGTGAGCGACATGAGGGCGCGGTTCGGGTCCAGTTGAAGAAGGCTGTCGATTATGATGTTCAAAAAGGATCACATAATCCTCGGCTTCAGGTAGTACCACACATAGGATGTGAAAATACTGTAGATGGATGCGCTGCTTTCCAAGGGCTCTAATGTGAATGTCACGGGCGGATTCTTCAGCAAAGAAGTCCAGGCTGCGCCACTTGCCGGCTGTGAGAAGACTTTGTAGATACTGGGAGTCAAAGGAGTTGATATTGATATATCGAGGGGGAGATGAACTGCTTTCAAGGCCGCATCATACAGTGCATAAATATGTAGCCGGACTCTTGGTCGATTAAGGCGCTAGTAACACATTTCGAGGAGTGAACCCAGTAATGCACAAGAGGCTGCAACATGTCAGGTTATGAGGTGGTAGTGCAGTTGATTCGAACCAAGAGCACCGTTGATGCTACATTCAAGAAGAAAGCAACCGCGCTATAAAATGGTCCTTGGTTGTTGTAACCAGTGTATAACTTAAGTGACGCGAGGGTTATGCTTATGTTGGTCTTTCTGAGGTCCGCCCTTAGTACTCTCAAGATGCCTTGCTATCCAAGCCCAATACACCATCTCCCGATGAACTTTTCGATGCAAAATAAGCAAGCGGTTGCATGTTGTCGAGATACTCCCTCAATGCCACAATCTTGCCGTCTTCATTGACCTCGAAAATCATGACGACATCGTTGTCGTATCGGCCCCCGGCTGAATCTATCCCATGAACACTGAACTCTATCACAGCCCTTCGGTCTTCAGCGACAAAAGCTTTTTGGTTGATGCTGAAGCTTGTGAAGTTTCCATGCATATCTGGGAGCTGAGGAAGTCTTTCCGAAGCAGGCATGGATCCCGCCCACGGTACCTTGGGTTGCTCGCCGGACACCCAGTAGGTGCCGTCGGCCGCAAAAAGGTCTCCCAGCGCTGCGAATTGGCGAGAAGCGAGGTTTGAAATGAACCTTTGAGCAGCTTCGCGAGCTGAGGGCTTGTTCTGCGATGTCATCGTGCCAAGATACAAGATTTGCTGAGATGCACTGGAGGATGCCTCCCTCTTTCCAACGATCAGCACAGTTCGTCTTCTGGTATTTTTTGTCACCCACGAAGTCAAGGTTTGTAGGGGAAACGCTGATTATATATGTTCTCAACCAATTTGTGTCTTGAGTAACTTCCCCGCCGTCTCCGTTGCCAAGAAGTAAGAAACGAGAATGACCCATTATGAGTCTTCCGGGCCGAAAACCCCGGTTCTAACAAGCCATTATCATTCAGGGTCGACAGGATCCTTGGATTTGTTTGTCATTGAGAGAAAGGCTTGAATTAAAGCATTCAGAAAAAGAAAATTCCCCATGTATTCAAACAGCGCAACAAAATAGGCGAACTTTTTTGTCTTGGTTATATCTAAAACACCCTCCAAGTAGACAAAGCCCATCTTTATGTGCTACGAGCTCATTGTGTTGAGTTGTCGGGCTCTGGCAGCTTCCATTGCTGTTGAACTTTATTCTCTTTCTCTTAGGTTTATGTGCTACGAGCTATGTTCGATGTGATCAGCTAGTCTTTCAGAAAGCCTCGCCTATCTAGACTGTTTTACATTCTTTTGTGGCCGTCAACGGATATAGTCGTTGACGATGCTGGCATGATTCTGAGCTCCCAGAGCCCTGTTTGAGGACCTGTTTGCGATGATCCCAGTTTCGAATTACGACAGATAGAGCACCTGAGTCTAGATTACATGGACTGGAGACCCTCACGCTCAGCCGCGAACATTTCTAGGTAGAAATTAGGGTTCCCTTGATACGCAGTGATAGGTACTTGCTCATCATAGCTACTGGCAAGCTTGCAGACCTTCAAAAATAGATCAAACCGTTTAAAAGAACATCGCCCTGTTGATGTGAGAGGGGGGGAGAAGCAAATCGGCATTACTATCAAAACAAACAATTTGCTATTGAAACTAGCGACTTGCACATAGCAGTTGTCAACATGTGACAATATATCTGCATGATTTAGGCTCTAGGCCGCAACACAGTTCAATTCGCAATTCAGAGAAGAGGAGAGCAATTCTCGCTTCTATACCATGTTTCCGGCAAATCTGCGTCAAGTGATTCGCAATTGTAATTTGGCAGAACGACAAGGTAGAGTCACGTTGTAGCACAGATCGTATTTAAAGCCCAAACGAGCCCTTGCCACCTGTTCCAGAAGATTGCCAGTTACCTTACCTACAGGGACAGAGATCGGATCACTCTGTAGTCCGTTCTCCGTCCTTCAAGTCCCGTGCATCGGCCCTTCGACAGATTCGGCATTCTTACCCCATCCGGCAAGTCGAAGCGCGCGGGTGTTTTGGAGTGTGAAAAGTCTCCGAGCCCAGCAGGCGTGATGTTACATTGGTTAACCACTCAAATTTCAATGCCTGAGCATCCCAGTGGCAATTTGATAGTTGACCAGGGGATGGCCAGCCTTTTCAATTTCACCGCAACCTGCTGATCAAAATTAATTCACTAGAACCGGCCAATCGATACTATACATTTGGGCATCATATGGTTCATTAGATAAACAACCGAGCTCATGTCAACAGTACAAGGGTTTCACTCCGGGTAACATTGGGGCTTCCAACCAAAGACTCCGGTCGTTACACGCATGCTTACATGCACACTGGAGGCTTCTTGGTGTTTCGTTACCATATGCCTGTTCTGGCTATCTACGCCGTTGCTTACAACAGTCCTGCGCATAAAACTTATCTGAATGAAACAGGTGTTTCTGTATGCATGACTCACAAATGAAGTCCTTGATACTGAAAGGCGAGGAAAGGGCGTTTGGCAGATAGAAGGAATTGGTGGATGACGCTCTAGGGTAGGTAGATACCGAGGAAAGCATAATGCACTGCCCCGCGCCAAAGACCAATATTTGCGTTGTGGCATGACTCGAAGTGAGACTAAAGATCTAAAATAGACTGCCAAAAAAGCTAAACGAAAGTCAATGACGATGGGTAGGTAATCAAGAAATAGGCTGCATCCGGTTTCCAATAGCGCGACTCGAAGCGCCACTGCCATGCACGTAAATAGCTTCAGTCTGATCAACGGTTGCCAATCAATCTGTCCGTCTCACCCGGCGGCCAGGTCGTGAGTGTTAAAGTGAGGGGACATGCATGAGGTTGTAAGCTGCAGACAGCCACCAACAGGGGGAGCAAACTACCGAGTAATGAATGACCAATACTACGGGATTTGGGGGCCGTCTTCTTGAAGAAACCATCACCCCGAAAACCCGGGCTGGACTTTGTCTGCATGTGTCCAAGCCAGTCTCCACTTGTAAATTGCTTGATCGCTTCCATGGGTATTAATAAAGGTGTATTATGTCCGTGTATCTATGGTAGCAGTGTAGGGCTGACCCGTAGAGAAGTCTTGGTAGCAGCCGCTAAAAGGCCAAACCACACGACCTTTGATCCACGCAACTCTCTCGTCCATTGAGAAAGACCAGACGATCAGCAGCTTCCTCTTTCATCCTCGTCCTATCTTCCCACAACAGTGAAAACGTTGAACCGGCCGGCCTGGACTGCCGACTTGGTCGAAACACTAGCACACAAGCTTGGGCGCCAAATCAGCAGCATGGTAAAAGGGGTTTAGCTGGTGCGTCACCTCTGACCAAAGTCCTAAATTGTGCGTCTTGGCAAAGACGCCATCTCCTTCAATTTCAACCGGGAGCTTTTCTGGCCAATAGAGGCAGCTCGCCCGCATGGAACCCCTGTTGAGATGGGGGCAAGCTGAAGCATGGATCCCTGCGCCTGATGCTTAATATAGCCTTATCGACGGGCTATCACAGAGCACTTAACTCACTCGGGAAGAATCGCCCTCATGCTTTTCATGGGAGCCCTTCACGGGCGGTGGAGGGGACGGGGATTTCGATGTAAGCACGCCCAAGAAACCGCGTGACTGTGCCTTGAACTGCCTAGGCACCCCCCCAATTGGCGTAGTCTTGGTTTTTCCTGTGTCTCCTCTTTCTGCATCTCTCAGACCTTTCGTCCTCTGATCGTCTCGGTTCGTCGACATACCCCCAAATGAAGTCGATTACGCTGCTTCACCTGCTGGGCTTTGCCTCGTGCATTGCTGCTCTGCCAGAGCCCCAGCCTCTGATCACAGAAGCCCCGGCGCTCGCGACTCTCTACGAGCGAGACAATGAGGCTCCCAGCTTCATGGGATATCTCTCGGATAACACGACTTGTAAGCGCCGCCCCCAAATAAGCGGAGAGCAGCCTGGCTGCTGCGATTGAATTGTTGTTTTTGCGCGCACATATTCTGACTGAGTTTTCAATTGCTTCTAGTCCGAGAGACGGCATGCGCGAGGGGTTATTACAGCTCGGCCGGGCGAAATGCTGGCTGCGTGACGGACAACACCAGGCCGGTTGCGACAGGCTGCACCAGCGCGACCCTCGTCGTGTACCCCAATGGTGATAACGCTACCTGGTAGGTCTACTCAAACTCAGACTAACATGTCCCCTCGGTGCCCGTTTACTGACGTCCGAGGTCCAGCACGGGAAGCTACACCTGCTCATACCACACCATCTTCGACAACCTCGACCAAAAGTCAACATGGAGCCGGTGGGCGTGCTTCGTCTCCGGCAACACCAACAAGGTCGTCGTCTACCGAGCGACCACCCACGTCTCCTCCACGAGCACCACATCCGACATCTCCACTACGAGCGATGATTCCACGACCACGGGCGAGACGACCGAAACCGGAGCCTCCGCGACGGCCACATCTGACCCGGGCTCAGATGGTTCCAGCGGCGGCGGCCAAAGCATGGCCTGGGTCGCTGGCCCCGTCGTCGGTGGTGTTGCAGGTCTCGCCATCATCGGACTGCTGGTCTGGGTGGTGCTGCTCCTCAAGAGACGAAGTGCGAACAAGGGGGTCGAAGCAGCGGCAGCCGACAACAATCAATATGATAACAACAACCTGCCGCCGGGTTCCAACATGTCCCAAATGTACCCGTCGCCACAAGTAACACCCGCGGCCGGCTACGCCGATCCCGTAGGCGAGCCCTACAAATACTACCCGCAGGGACCTCCGCAGACCATCTACTCCGGCGTCCCTCCCCAAGGCGGGTATACTCAGGTTCCTACTCAGATGCCTAACCAGGCCGCAGAGCTGCACAGCACGTCCTCGCAAGGACCCTGGATGTCGCCGGCCCCAAGCGAGCTGCCCGCCTCCGAGAGCCACGGGGCCAGGAGTGACGCAGCAGAGCTTGGGGGAAGTGACGTGCGGAGATAGAATATTCCCAAATTAACGATGACGAGTCGAGGATCGGAGGACGACTGGACAAAGGGAGATCAATTGAACACTAGCGTGAGCATATCTAGCGAATCCATTGCTGGGCAGTAATACCGGCTTGTCCTGTCTCTAAGGAAGCTGATGTTGCCTGACCTGTACATGATAGCATACTTACATAAATGAATTAATAACAGCGACTCACTTTAGGTCTTTTCCCGTGATTAATGCTGTTGAGTATGTCATCTTGCAACCCTGGTATCAGAGGGTAGGTAATTCGATAGCTATGCACCTCGCATCGTTTCGTAGAGTTCTATCACGTCTGAGCTAGATGTTGGTCGCATTAGCCTTTGCAGCTAACATCCATTCAATGCTGGCCCGCTAATACGTCTTGCGAGTAATAACTAGCTCAGATGCGATGGGACTTTTGGAAGCTATGCGACATGCGTGGCTATCGAAGGGTCCCTACGATGCAACTATGTTAGCTTGTCGTCGATATAGGAGCAGGATTTAGTTGACGCTTAGAATCAAGGAAACATCTCTTGAGTCATCTCGAGCGACTTATCCTACGGAATAAAGCGAACCAACGGCTCGTCTGCCCTTTCGTAAATCGTGACATACACCAGGCTCTGCTGAACTGCGGTTGAGATTTCGAGAGCGACGGCATGCATTAGATTTTGCCCACTTAATATAGCTGAGGTTGACAGACGGGCGTGTGTGATTCTGCCACCCATAACTAGAAATTTAGACTCAGGAATCGAGATAAGTCCATGTACCTGCACGTTATGTTCATTTCTTTGAACTCAGATCCCAAGTAATGGTTAGTGGGGGAAAAGCCCGAGGACCACCTTCATGGGTTAGGGGATACTCCTCTCCTCTCCTCTCCGATCATTTCCGGTTTGGAGAAGGTGGCTCTTTGGAAGATCATTCCACGCCAGTCACTGAACAGGCTTTTCATCTTAGAGATATCGTACAAACTCCCAAAAACTGAAAGAAACTATAAGCATGTTGTTGTATGACATCAACCGGTAGAACTTTGAAATACCACTAGAAGCACACCCATTCTAGGCTCGGCTGCATAGTTTAGATTGTCAGGGGCTCGCAAGAGGCCTTTGTGCTTTGTTAGTTCCATCGATGTCAGCAGGCTTGGACTTATGAATATACTTAAGAACTTATGAATGTACACAAGAACTTATGGATGTGCTTAAGATCTTATGAATGTGCTTAAAATTCTCAGGTTACATGATGACGACAGTATGCATGCCATCAGTTTCCTACAATAGTCCTCGTCAGCTATCCCTAGAAAATCAAAAATTTCGCCACATGCCAACGACTGATCATGTGCTCATTTCTAAGTAAAATACTTGTCTTTCATCCCACCACTTCCCAAAGACCTGAGGCGTAGTGGTGTGACATCACTTGTTGAACTGGGAGGGAAACTCGTTAGCTGAGTCGAAGCCGATGTTACATCGATCACGCGGATCTTACTATGACAAAAACATAGCCTGGATCATTTCTTCGTCTATATTACTGTATCTGTGAGGTGTCTTTCGGCAGAATCCCATAATGTTAGATCTGATTGCTGGGGAAGATGTAAGCAATTACCCCGAAGGGTGGACAAAGTGGCTCGAGAAACATCAGATGAAATCTGCCAAGAACTGGGCTGCATGGATGTAATTTCTTTATTACCTTTCATCTTTGGAAAATTGATGACGAGATGAATAAGCTGCTATGAGGCACGTCGGTGTATATGGAATGCCATTGGGCAGTCGCCTCGTGCTTCATCACAGTGAAGGCGATCGAGATGGGACTTTTATTCACTACCTACGCTCTGTCAGCACTATTCTGAGAAAATAAAGCGTGTGATTTTTCTGTGCCTTATTTCACCTGCCGTGGTGGCCAACTCTGGTTGTTGTCAAACCCTCCTGCTTTATTTGGAATCAAGTCTCGACATGTATATAGGTAATATACGAGCTCCGAAAGGCGCAAGATAATCAATATTGCCGCGACGCTTTATTCTGGCCTTGCGGTGGCAATACCGAACATTCTGCGACCCAATCCAGCAATATTGAGGCGACCGAGTTCAGCGAGCACAAGTCCCTTTTTTATATCTGCTGGCAATCCTACTAATCTCCAAATGACGCCTGGGCCCTTGCCCTCTGCCGTTTTCATCCACTGTCGAATCGAGTCCTCCGATGGAACAGGCAGCTGGAACAGAAAAAGAATACCCCCATAATATGGGGAAAACTGGGCGAGTTTCAGAATAGTTGCCGCTTACCGCATGATGAATCGGGACGCTCGTGTTTCAACGTCCGCTAAATATAACCACAAGGTTTTTTCCTACGGAGCTTATTTCCCAGCCGCTTCTTGGCATTGTAGCAGATAAAAATCGAAGATTCTTTTCGCTGCTGCTCGCGGATTCCGGTGTGCTGATTTCTCGTGCGCCACTATGGCTTCAGATGGATTGATGGCTTGCAGGTGCTCATTCTCGGGCTGCCGATCACAATTGGGGCGCTGCAGTAATACTGCTAATATTAAGCTTACTGAACTTTGTCATGTCTTGTGATGCCTCTTGGCTGGTTGGATTCCAGGTCGTGCGCTGAGCATTGAAGCAGTGGAGTCAGCCGTATGCTTTGCACACACCTTGGTAGGGAGCAAGCGTCCGGATATCGGCGCACTATGATCAATTAAGGAGGAGAGAGAGAGCTGCCCGCCCGCCGGGCTGAGATCCGTCGTTGCATGAGAGGCTAGGGCAGCTTGGCAGCTTAGACTGGATATTATTGCGCCCCTAGGCTGTGTTCAGAAGATCCGGCGGCAGGTCGCCTCTCCCCAGCTGCAGGAGACTTCAATTAGGCTCGTGCCGACATTGGCAGCCACATTTCCGATCACACGTAGGGTGAATTCGCCCCTGGCATCTGCAAGGGACGAGCGACGGCAGGGCTGTGGGCTTGTGTCTATCTTTGAAATGCCTGTCGGTGGCGATTGCAGGAGTCATGTCAAGTTGTAGCCTGATAGGTGGGTTGAGCCAATGTGCCTTGCTCAGCTTGGCTTGCCGAGCCGTTTCGACTCTGCTGCTGCTTGTCTCCTTTTGGTAACATGCACGGGTTCATTCTGCTTTGCGGAGGAGATTTGATTATACGCCTCTAATAATCTGAATAGAACTTGTGTAGATGCTCGGTGGAAAGAGTATATAAGATGCTGTCCAGTCCGTCTGAAGGGAAAGAGTCTCTCTCTCTATCCTCAAGCCGAATAACCAACTGCCACATTCCTTTGGGCATTTACTTTCTTTTTTCTCACCCAGTCATTACCTGATTCGTTCAAGATGGTTTCCGTCAAGTCTATCCTCTTCTTCGCTGCGGCGGTCTCCGCCAGTGTCATTGGCCTTGAAACTAGAGAGGATGCCGAGCGCCCCGAGGCATGCGGATCTGCCCCTTACCCCGACGAGCTGGTCGAGATGACCTCTCTCTTCATAGATGAGGATGCCAAACTCACAAATGGAAGTATGTCAATCTTGGCTGCTCCTGCGCCCGGCTCTTCCAAGGTCTACGTCCACGTCGTGTCCGCCAAGCAGAGCACCTTCATCACCGTATGACCCCCTTCCCCAAACCATCTCCCAGTTCCCCCCAGAGGCTGTATAGCTAACCACAACGACTCGCCAGGACGACATGATCAACCGCCAGTTCGCCATGATCAGAGATGAGTGGAAGAAGCACGGCTGGACCATGACCCTCGCCGGCAAGTCCAAGACGGTCAACACCAACTGGGCCAACGACAAGGACCAGCTCAACATGAAGAAGAAGCTCCGCAAGGGCGCCTACCGCGACCTCAACGTCTACGTCATCGACAAGATCGGCACCGGCGGCACCACGGGATACTGCTACTACCCCACGAGCTCCCACGCCACCGGCGGCACAAACTTCTACCAGGACGGCTGCACCATCATCAAGTCGACCGTCCCGGTTAGCAACGACGACAAGGTCAAGAACGGCAAGGGAAAGACCCTCATCCACGAGGTCGGCCACTGGCTCGGCCTCAAGCACGTCTTCGAGGGCGGCTGCGACGGCGCGGGGGACGGCATCGCCGACACGCCCGCCCAGAAGGATGCGTACTGGACCTGCGCCGCCCGCGACAGCTGCCCTGGCAAGGCCGGTTCTGATCCCATCCACAACTACATGGGGTACACTATGGGGTAAGAAGCCACATGTTGTCTTTGTTTTCAGTGTTATCAACGTTACTAACTCGTGGTACAGAACCTGCCGAACCGGCTTCTCCACTGGCCAGGTCACCCGCATGAAGACCATCTGGAAGACTGTACGAGCTATATAAACGGGACGGGAGGGAGTGGAATAGTCGTTTATATGTTATCTGTAATATTTGTTTTGATTTGTCAACACGAGCGATCGGGGCGGTTGATACGGGGTGTTAGGTGATTAAGTTGGTTGTGTTGACTACGGGTATAGATAGGGCTTGCTCAATGGGTTTTGGATTTCATGTTCTCTTCTATTTAGCATAATTAGCCTTGTTGGCGAATTCAAAGCTTTTAGCATGCTATCAATGAGTGCCGTGAGATATTGGTTGGCTTTCCTCTGCTTAACATAATTTCTAAGAAAGGGGCAAGCAAAGCCTTATGAATGAGTATATTGGCCTACACTTCACTGATTAAGGGTATTGTGGAGAGAAGCGAAAGAACTAGAGCAAGCGGGGACCTCAAAAGAATAAACTGGAAACCAACATGGCTACGATATACTCATTGGAAGCTGAAATTACTCATAAGTAAACCAATACCAAAAACAGACTTGTAGAGCATGGTGGTTCGTTTGACTCGGGCCTGAACTTGGGTGGATATGATTCATAAAGAGCAGTCCACAGGCACAAGTAGTTTGAGCGTTCAATATTGAATAGTTGATGCAATCTATGCAACCTTATAGGCATATGCAATCCCTAACCTGAGTGATTTGACCTTTTTTCTATACGACATGGTATTCTTCAAAGTATATACATGATGCTCCAACACGGACAGCTTTATACAACAAGCCGGGCACCATCCTTTTGCCACGGCTATAGCCACCCGTCGCTCCAGCGATGAGAGAGGCTACATTGAATGATGACGGGTTGTCCTACCCGAGGTCTCCTGTCTGAGACCATCAATCCCCCACACTAGACTATTACTTTACAGTGCCAGGAAACCAGCCAGGATGGCACCACCAGCGAGGAGGCCGGCGCTGAACTGCAGCTGGGAGCCAGCGCTGGGAGGAGTGGATGAGGTGGATGAAGGGCTGCTTCCAGTGGAGGTGCTCTCGCCGCTGCCACCGGTGGTAGCAGATGAGGTAATGAGGGTGGAGGCGGTAGAGGAGCTGCCGCCAGAGGATGAAGATGGGGCGGTGGTGGGAGCAGCAGAGCCATCGGTGCTGGCGGGGGTGGAAGAAACATCGCCAGAAGAGCCACTGCTAGAGGGGGAAGACGAGTCAGAGCTCGAGGGGCCCGACGAGGCTGATGTAGGAGCAGAGTCGCTGGAGGAGGCAGATGTAGGAGCCGAGCCGCCGGTGGTGGAGGGGGCGGGAGCGGAAGACTGATCGGCGGTCGTGGACGGTGCTGGGACATCAGATGTAGTCGGGGCAGGGTTGGTGCTGGTTGGGGCAGCAGCAGACGAAGAGGCACTGGCAGAGGTGCTGGGAGAGCCGCCGCCGTTGTTGACGTCCTTGCAGAAGTTGTCGAAGCCAAGCATGGCGGATCCTATTGTCAAAAGTCAGCCTTCAGCCCCTCCAGGAGAAGATATCCGTGGTACGCACCGTAGTCGGCGTCGGAGCAACCGCTCTTCAGGCACTTCTCGCTGTGCCTCTTGAGAGAGTAGATGTCGCGGCAGAGACATGCGCCATCGCTCTGGTCGCAGGTCGAGTGATCGGCCACGGCCTCGTTGATGCAGCTGGGTGCGCAGCTGGGGACGTAGTCGGAGATGTTCGCGGCACGGACGGCAGCGACCGCCATCAAGGCGGGGAGGAGAAAGGTGCGGAGAGGGGCCATTGTATTGTATTGTTTGTTTGGCTTGTGAGAATTAAACGACAGTAAGAGAGGTGTACCGAGCCTGAAGCGGTATCGCAGTGAATCGAAACAAAGGAGGTGGGTGGATGAACGAAGGAGACGGCAGAAGGACGCTGGAGAACAGAGCAGGAGCCGAGAAGGGCAGAAGCCAGACGGGGCCTGCGACGATGGTGTTTTATAAGGGCTGGACGCATGAAAATGATGGACATTGCATTGCTCCAGCCGTGACGATGGATTGCCTGATGCAGCAGCTGCCAAGGTGAAACGAAACAGGGGCTGCGCTCTTGAAACACCACAAACACGGCGAGGACAGGCGACGACAGTGGGTGATGTAACGTGTGCAGGAAAATTGCCCGACCCCAGACTTTGGGTCTGTCATGCCATGCAGGAGGACCTTGTGAATCCGTGTCGATCACTGATGCCATCTGGGTGCTAACTGTGGTAACCTGAGATCTTCATGTTTGTGAAGGTGGTGAATATGTCTCGTCTCGTCTCGTCTCTCCCCAGGCCGTGGCTGCGGTTGCCAGACACCCGCATGGACGCACACTCATCCCATCTCGTCCTGAACAGAGAGGCAAGTGCGACGAGCAAGAGACAAAAGGAAACAGAGGCCATGGTGTGACTGCTGGTATGTCTGAAACCTCTGCCAGCATCGTGGGCTGAACCCCCTGCACTCGAGCCTTTCGCCTCGGGCCTTCTCCCACCAAGCCCTGCCTGGCTGACACTGCCGATCATCGTCACTAAACTCTGCGGGAAGTTATTACGTGTGGCAGCCCAATTAATACGATGCAAAGCCGTCTATTCTCCCAATCTGGGGCCAATCTGCCTCACGTTCAATGTCAGGGCGAGCGAGAGACCACTACAGCGCAGAGCCTACAGCGGGGTTAGGCCTTGTAAGGCCCTGTAGATGCCCTGGCGCGGAACCAGATGGCGCGCGACACGCCCTGGAGCCTGTAAAACATGCATCCTCTGAGGTCACAGCGAGACCGTGTCCGTCACCAATTCGAGAGATCAACACCACGGCATGGCTCTGCGCGCGGCGACGGTTGAAAATAAGCCGCGCGTCTGGCCCTCGCAGCAGAAGCACCAGACAACATGGAAACCATCCCAGGATCGCCCGGGAAAGGGAATCGCCTGGGCAGCGTGTCACAAGCCAGTCTCAAGATGAGCCTGATTAGGAAGGACGTCGATGGGCCTTAAGCTGGAACAGGCAAGACAAACCAACAGGACTAAGAAGGCTGATGGGCATTTCCTCGCTGGGCCAAGCAATCGGCGTTTGTAATTATTAGTTCTGCCCCTTATTGGGCCAGGACATGCATTGATGCTATTCACGACCTTCTCGTTCCGTCATGAAGAAAGCACATCCCACGTCACACATCATCTCATTCCCCCTTCAACGTCACTGACAAGCTCGTATTATGATCGACTGGACCCATTGATGGCCTACCCTGTAACCCGATGTGGTTCACAGGTCTGGGGCGAACCATCATCCGACCTTTCTAACAGGCCTATTCCCATCGGCTCCTCTACAACCGAAGGCTTCGCGGAATTCCGAAACGGATACTTGAAATAGCGCCTGCCTGTTTTGAACTCTGCTAATAGAAGAATTGATTGTGAGCGACGTTAAGAAATGGAGAAAAAATGGCCGTGGAGTAAAATTGGAGTAACTTAATCCTTCTCGCTGCATTATAAACTACTTTAGTTAAGCCAAGTTTGGGCAAAGAGTTTGCAGACCTGAAATTGTTATGTGAGTAAGGACATAGTTTAATTAATGTTGATCATCAAGTTGACTAGTTATTGTAGTGAGATGAAACAGATGTACCTACCTAGTTATTACAATCTAACCATTAGGTGAGCAAATTAGAAAAGAAGTAGAAGAAGAAAAAGAAAAAAAAAAAGAGCATTCCGTCTTTTGATAGTAACTGACAATGATGCTGAAACTCTACGGAAGGGTTTTCTCGCATCTCAAAAGCTGCTCCTCTGTTTAGGAATATGTTCAAGAGCCTACAATACGGTCATAAGATTACGAGTAAAGGCATCGATAATGTCTTTGAAACATCGGAAGCTATAGCGAGGTACTTTCTCCACTTGTTTATTAAGGATACAGGAAGACAACAAAAGAGCCTCTGGAATATTGACACGGAAGTATCGGTGTAATTGTGGGCAGTGATGAAGTTCGCCGTAGTAGAGTACTGATCACCTCACCATCTACCTTAGATAGGCTGCACACAAACCATGGCTCTATTAGGCTGTATATTACTTGTACTAGTTTCAGAGGCTTTGAAGATGTATTATTTCCCAGTCGAGTTGGTCTCCTAGGCTGGTCGACTGTTATGAGCAAGACATGCTAGCTGAGTTAATCTAATCAGCCATATGCCGATTGAGCGAGGGAGCAACTTGTAAACTAAAGTTAAACAGTTGCCATATGCCTATCCTGGTACCAGGAAGGCTTGGCGATATGATTATTTCCAATTAAAGTCCGGAACGAGTAGTAATGACGGTGACTATTTTGTATCGTACACTTGCGTTCATGATTCACTGTTATCTACTTGCTGGTAATCCCGCAAGTCTCATAAATATATCATACTTATATAACTTTCTTTGGCAATAATACGATTAATATCTATGTCTAGTGGTGTGAGCAGCATCTATGCCATCATTATCCATCCATCATGAGCTTGTACGAGGGCACGCCTCCGTCTTCAAAAACTCGATCCTCGACCCATCGTCTCCCTCCTGGATGATATCAAACCACGTGAGCCAGCTGGCCGTCTTGAGTCCCGTTGGAGCTTTGAAGATAACCCACCCATCATCCTCCCCCCTCGTCTCCCCCGTGTTCTCAAACGCAACCGTCTCGACTTCCCACTCCCGCACCACGAGCCCCGTCATTTTCGTGTATCTCGCGAGCTCCAGCCTCAAGGGAAGAGATGCCCGGTCCTTACGAACAGCTACCGTCGCGTCCATCGCTCTAGTTCCGTTCACAGCCTGCCTCGCCACGCAGGAGTCTGCCCTTTGATACAGCAGCTCATCCGTCACAGGGTACCCATCCCCTCCATTGTCGTACAGTATCCGCTCGCCTGTAGATCGTACCGTGGTCTCGATATGGAACTTGCTGATTCCCTTGGTCGCGTTCAACTCCATGCCAAACTCATACCAGGCGAACGTCTCCCCGTAGAGCCCCCGCGCATCCCCAACATACGTCGCGTTGATCCGCGGGCAGCTCCAGCGCTTGTTCCTCACGGCGTGGTGCACCTGGACATCCAAATCGCTGGCCAGCCGTCCCGCAGCGGCACCCTCTGTCGTCCTAACACGGATCCGCCCTGAAAAGACGAGCTTGCCATTGTCGTTCAGATACAGGTCCGTGATGTAGGGCTTGATATCGGTTGGTTCAATCGGCTGAGACAGTTCGACGGTGGAGGGGACGGTGTCAATCATCCTCTCGAAAACCTCGGCGCAGGTCTTCTCAAACTCCGCGTTGTCCCCTGCCAGTCTGGAGATGGTCGCGTTGTTGTCCGAGCTGAATATCCGCTTGTCCGAGTTCTTGGTCTCGTTCTTCCCCACGACGAGCGGGTTCTGCGTATTGTCGCTCAGGTACTCAACAGCAACGGCGTTGTCGAACTCCCCGTCGGTGGTGTCAAACTTCACCACCGTGTCGTTGTACCGATCCCCCGACTCGCCCGGCACGATATCCGGGTGGTTGTGGCTATGCACACCCCCAAGCGTATGCCCACAGGCCACCAGCGCAATCATATCCTCCTGGCTGTACCCGGCCGTCGCAAACCTCCCCAGCACCGTCCCCAGCGGCGTGTCCGTCTCAGGCACGCCCGCCGGCCCGGCCCCCTTGGCATCGACGCGGCCAGCCCGGAAGGGAATCCTGGTGGTCCCGCCGCACCCGGAGTGGGAGACGATGACGCTCATGGCGAGGAGGTCGGCGGCGGACGCCCGCAGCGAGTGCAGGTAGGCGAAGAAGTTGAACGTGTTCTCGAACGCGAGCGCCCCGTTCTCTGCCCGGTCGAGCTCGAACCAGATCGACCCGTCCAGGCCGCCGGTGCCGAGGGCCGAGTCATGGGTTATCATGTCGTGGAAGGCGGATCGGATCCATTCCGCGGCGTTTTGACGCCCCCTGACGTTGCCGCCTTGCGTACACGGCGTGATAGCTGGAATTGGATGTTAGGAACTGGCGCGGGAGGGATGTATTTCGCCCAGTGGAGAGTACATACCGCTGGAGAAGTTCCTGCCTTGATATCCGCTTTGGAGCGAGAGGATGTCTTCGAGTTCGTCATAGCGCGAGGGCCAGATGTATTCATCCGCCGCTGCGAGAGATGGTGCCACGGCAAGTAGGACACCCGGAAAAGATGCGAGCCTCATATGAGAATGGCGATGATCGAAAAACAAGTGACTGGGCAAAATTGTCAAGTCAATTGAGCGTACAATCGGGGTCCCATGAGAGCGGAAGCCATTATAATGGCCTCGACAGTCGCGCAAAACGGAGCATCGGAGGCCCCCGAGGGACGACACAATTAATCATGTATTGATCCATAGCGTAGAAAAAGGGTCCAAAATGGAGCCTTGGTTGAACAAAATCAGATAAAAAAGAATTTTTTTATATCAGATCATCTGGGCTTGATAAATACCTCCCTCCCGTTGGGCCAAGCTTTGGTGACCCTTGCATCCGGAGGCTTGGCGAGGACGGCCGGAAAATTTCTGCATAAGGACACGGAGCGAAGAGCAGGATGAATTGAGTTGAAATCACAGTCGATCAAGAAATGGTGACATTTCCGCAAAGATGGGTGTTTGGCATTCTCTACACTTCTAGAACGTAGGACGGGTTGTGTGTCTCAAAACATAAATCTGAGAAAAAGTTGATTGACCTGCAAGGGAAAGCATGGGCCATCATCTGGTGTTCTCTACCAAATCAAATAAGCCTCATTCACATGAAAAATAAGAAGAAGGACTTGTAGATATATTGCGTGATATAGAGT